CACCTACAACAACTACCACACCTACAACAACTACCACACCCACAACTACCACGCCTACTACAACTACCACTCCTACTACACCTACCACGACTACATTAACTACCACACCCACAACAACTACCACACCTACAACAACTACCAAACCTTCAACAGCTACATTACCAACAACAACTACTACGTCTACAACAACTACCACACCTACAACAACTACTAGGTCTACAACAACTACAAAACCTACAACAACTACCAAACCTACAACAACTAAAACACCCACAACAACTACCACGCCTACAAAAACTACCACGCCTACAACAACTACCACACCTACAAAAACTACCACGCCTACTACAACTACTACACCCACATTAACTACCACGCCTAATACAACAACCAGGCCTACAACAACTACCACACCTACAACAACTACCACACCTTCTACAACTACCACACCCACAACAACTACCACACCTTCAACAGCTACATTACTAACAACAACTACCACACCTACAACAACTACTACGTCTACAACAACTACAACACCTACAACAACTACCAAACCTACAACAACTACTACGTCTACAACAACTACCACACCTACAAAAACAACTAGTTCTACAACAACTACCACGCCTACAACAACTACCACACCTACAACAACTACCACGCCTACTACAACTACCACACCCACAACAACTACCACGCCTAATACAACAACCACGCCTACAACAACTACAACACCTACAACAACTACCACACCTACAACAACTACCACACCTTCTACAACTACCACGCCTACTACAACTACCACGCCTACAACAACTACCACACCTACAACAACTACCACGACTACTACAACTACCACACCTACAACAACTACCACACCAACAACAACTACCACGCCTACAACAACTACCACGCCTACAACAACTACCACACCAACAACAACTACCACGACTACTACAACTAACACGCCTAAAACAACAACCACACCTACAACAACTACCACACCTACAACAACTACCACACCCACAACAACTACCACGCCTACTACAACTAACACGCCTACAACAACAACCACACCTACAACAAATACCACACCTACAACAACTACCAAACCTTCAACAGCTACATTACTAACAACAACTACCACACCTACAACAACTACTAGTTCTACAACAACTACAAAACTTACAACAACTACCACACCTACAACAACTACCACACCTACAACAACTACCACGCCTACAACAACTACCACACCTACAACAACTACCACACCTACAACAACTACCACGCCTACAACAACTACCACACCTACAACAACTACCACGCCTACAACAACTACCACACCTACAACAATTACCACGCCTACAACAACTACCACACCTACAACAACTACCACGCCTACTACAACTACCACACCCAAAACAACTACCACGCCTAATACAACAACTACGCCTACAACAACTACCACACCTACAACAACTACCACACCTACAACAACTACCACGCCTACTACAACTACCACGCCTACAACAACAACCACACCTACAACAACTACCACACCTACAACAACTACCAAACCTTCAACAGCTACATTACTAACAACAACTACCACACCTACAACAACTACCACACCTACAACAACTACTACACCTTCTACAACTACCAAGCCTACAACAACTACCACACCTACAACAACTACCAAACCTTCAACAGCTACATTACTAACAACAACTACCACACCTACAACAACTACTAGTTCTACAACAACAACAAAACTTACAACAACTACCACACCTACAACAACTACCACACCTACAACAACTACAACACCCTCAACAACTACCACGCCTACAACAACTAACACGCCTACAACAACTACCACACCTACAACAACTACCATGCCTACTACAACTACCACACCCGCAACAACTACCACGCCTACTACAACTACCACACCCACAACAAGTACCACGCCTAATACAACTACCACACCTACAACAACTACCACGCCTACTACAACTACCACACCCACAACAACTACCACGCCTACTACAACTACCACGCCTACTACAACTACCACACCCACAACAACAACCACACCTACAACAACTACCACACCTACAACAACTATCAAACCTTCAACAGCTACATTACTAACAACAACTACCAAACCTACAACAACTACTACGTCTACAACAACTACCACACCTACAACAACTACTAGTTCTACACCAACTACAAAACCTACAACAACTCCCACACCTACAACAACTACAACACCCTCAACAACAACCACACCTACAACAACTACCACACCTACAACAACTACCACGCCTACAACAACTACCAAACCTACAACAACTACCACGCCTACTACAACTACCACACCCACAACAACTACCACGCCTAAAACAACTACCACACCTTCTACAACTACCACGCCTACTACAACTACCACGCCTACAACAACTACCACACCTACAACAACTTCCACGCCTACTACAACTACCACGCCTACAACAACTACTACACCTACAACAACTACCACGCCTATAATAACTACCACACCTACAACAACTACAACACCTTCTACAACTACCACGCCTACAACAACTACCACACCTTCTACAACTACCACGCCTACTACAACTACCACACCTACAACAACTACCACACCCACAACAACTACCACGCCTACAACAACTACTACGCCTACAACAACAACCACACCTACAACAACTACCACACCTACAACAACTACCAAACCTTCAACAGCTACATTACTAACAACAACTACCACACCTACAACAACTACCACGCCTACTACAACTACCACACCCACAACAACTACCACGCCTACTACAACTACCACACCCACAACAACTACCACGCCTACTACAACTACCACGCCTACAACAACAACCACACCTACAACAACTACCACACCTACAACAACTACCAAACCTTCAACAGCTACATTACTAACAACAACTACCACGCCTACTACAACTACCACACCCACAACAACCACCACGCCTAATACAACAACCACGCCTACATCAACTACCACACCTACAACAACTACCACACCTACAACAACTACTACACCTTCTACAACTAACAAGCCTACTACAACTACCACACCTACAACAACTACCACACCCACAACAACTACCACGCCTACTACAACTAACACGCCTACAACAACAACCACACCTACAACAACTACCACACCTACAACAACTACCAAACCTTCAACAGCTACATTACTAACAACAACTACCACACCTACAACAACTACTAGTTCTACAACAACTACAAAACTTACAACAACTACCACACCTAAATCAACTACCACACCTACAACAACTACAACACCCTCAACAACTACCACGCCTACAACAACTAACACGCCTACAACAACTACCATACCTACAACAACTACCATGCCTACTACAACTACCACACCCGCAACAACTACCACGCCTACTACAACTACCACACCTACAACAACTACCACGCCTACTACAACTACCACACCCACAACAACTACCACGCCTACTACAACTACCACGCCTACTACAACTACCACATCTACAACAACTACCACGCCTACTACAACTACCACACCCACAACAACTACCACGCCTAATACAACAACCGCGCCTACAACAACTACCACACCTACAACAACTACTAGTTCTACACCAACTACAAAACCTACAACAACTACCACACCTACAACAACTACAACACCCTCAACAACTACCACGCCTACAACCACTACCACGCCTACAACAACTACCACATCTACAACAACTACCACGCCTACTACAACTACCACACCCACAACAACTACCACGCCTAATACAACAACCACGCCTACAACAACTACCACACCTACAACAACTACCACACCTACAACAACTACCACACCTTCTACAACTACCACGCCTACTACAACTACCACGCCTACAACAACAACCACACCTACAACAACTACCACGCCTACTACAACTACCACGCCTACAACAACTACCACGCCTACAACAACTACCACGCCTACAACAACTACCAAACCTACAACAACTACCACGCCTACTACAACTACCACACCCACAACAACTACCACGCCTACAACAACTACCACACATTCTACAACTACCACGCCTACTACAACTACCACGCCTACAACAACTACCACACCTACAACAACTACCACGCCTACTACAACTACCACGCCTACAACAACTACCACACCTACAACAACTACCACGACTACAATAACTACCACACCTACAACAACTACAACACCTTCTACAACTACCACGCCTACAATAACTACCACACCTTCTACAACTACCACGCCTACTACAACTACCACACCTACAACAACTACCACACCCACAACAACTACCACGCCTGCTACAACTACCACGCCTACAACAACAACCACACCTACAACAACTACCACACCTACAACAACTACCAAACCTTCAACAGCTACATTACTAACAACAACTACCACACCTACAACAACTACCACGCCTACTACAACTACCACACCCACAACAACTACCACGCCTAATACAACAACCACGCCTACATCAACTACCACACCTAAAACAACTACCACACCTACAACAACTACTACACCTTCTACAACTACCAACCCTACTACAACTACCACGCCTACAACAACTACCACACCCACAACAACTACCACGCCTACTACAACTAACACGCATACAACAACAACCACACCTACAACAACTACCACACCTACAACAACTACCAAACCTTCAACAGCTACATTACTAACAACAACTACCACACCTACAACAACTACTAGTTCTACAAAAACTACAAAACTTACAACAACTACCACACCTACAACAACTACCACACCTACAACAACTACAACACCCTCAACAACTACCACGCCTACAACAACTAACACGCCTACAACAACTACCACACCTACAACAACTACCATGCCTACTACAACTACCACACCCGCAAGAACTATCACGCCTACTACAACTACCACACCCACAACAACTACCACGCCTAATACAACTACCACACCTACAACAACTACCACGCCTACTACAACTACCACACCCACAACAACTACCACGCCTACTACAACTACCACGCCTACTACAACTACCACACCCACAACAACAACCACACCTACAACAACTACCACACCTACAACAACTATCAAACCTTCAACAGCTACATTACTAACAACAACTACCAAACCTACAACAACTACTACGTCTACAACAACTACCACACCTACAACAACTACTAGTTCTACACCAACTACAAAACCTACAACAACTACCACACCTACAACATTTACAACACCCTCAACAACTACCTCGCCTACAACCACTACCACGCCTTCAACAACTACCACATCTACAACAACTACCACGCCTACTACAACTACCACACCCACAACAACTACCACGCCTAATACAACTACCACACCTACAACAACTACCACACCTTCTACAACTACCACGCCTACTACAACTACCACGCCTACAACAACAACCACACCTACAACAACTACCACGCCTACTACAACTACCATGCCTACAACAACTACCACACCTACAACAACTACCACGCCTACAACAACTACCAAACCTACAACAACTACCACGCCTACTACAACTACCACACCCACAACAACTACCACGCCTAATACAACAACCACGCCTACAACACCTACCACACCTACAACAACTACTGCACCTTCTACACCAACTACAAAACCTACAACAACTACCACGCCTACTTCAACTACCACACCCACAACAACTACCACGCCTAATACAACAACCGCGCCTACAACAACTACCACGCCTACTACAACTACCACGCCTACAACAACAACCACACCTACAACAACTACCACGCCTACTACAACTACCATGCCTACAACAACTACCACACCTACAACAACTACCACGCCTACAACAACTACCAAACCTACAACAACTACCACGCCTACTACAACTACCACACCCACAACAACTACCAAGCCTAATACAACAACCACGCCTACAACACCTACCACACCTACAACAACTACTGCACCTTCTACAACTACTACGCCAACTACAACTACCACACCTACAACAACTACCACACCCACAACAACTACCACGCCTACTACAACTACCACGCCTACAAGAACAACCATACCTACAACAACTACCACACCTACAACAACTACCAAACCTTCAACAGCTACATTACTAACAACAACTACCACACCTACAACAACTACTAGTTCTACAACAACTACAAAACCTACAATAACTACCACACCTACAACAACTACAACTCCCTCAACAACTACCACGCATACAACAACTACCACGCCTACAACAACTACCACACCTACAACAACTACCACGCCTACTACAACTACCACACCTACAACAACTACCACACCCACAACAACTACCACGCCTACTACAACTAACACGCCTACAACAACAACCACACCTACAACAACTACCACACCTACAACAACTACCAAACCTTCAACAGCTACATTACTAACAACAACTACCACACCTACAACAACTACTAGTTCTACAACAACTACAAAACTTACAACAACTACCACACCTACAACAACTACCACACCTACAACAACTACAACACCCTCAACAACTACCACGCCTACAACAACTAACACGCCTACAACAACTACCATACCTACAACAACTACCATGCCTACTACAACTACCACACCCGCAACAACTACCACGCCTATTACAACTACCACACCCACAACTACTACCACGCCTAATACAACTACCACACCTACAAAAACTACCACGCCTACTACAACTACCACACACACAACAACTACCACGCCTACTACAACTACCACGCCTACTACAACTACCACATCTACAACAACTACCACGCCTACTACAACTACCACACCCACAACAACTACCACGCCTAATACAACAACCGCGCCTACAACAACTACCACACCTACAACAACTACTAGTTCTACACCAACTACAAAACCTACAACAACTACCACACCTACAACAACTACAACACCCTCAACAACTACCACGCCTACAACCACTACCACGCCTACAACAACTACCACATCTACAACAACTACCACGCCTACTACAACTACCACACCCACAACAACTACCACGCCTAATACAACAACCGCGCCTACAACAACTACCACACCTACAACAACTACCACACCTACAACAACTACCACACCTTCTACAACTACCACGCCTACTACAACTACCACGCCTACAACAACAACCACACCTACAACAACTACCACGCCTACTACAACTACCATGCCTACAACAACTACCACACCTACAACAACTACCACGCCTACAACAACTACCACGCCTACAACAACTACCAAACCTACAACAACTACCACGCCTACTACAACTACCACACCCACAACAACTACCACGCCTACAACAACTACCACACCTTCTACAACTACCACGCCTACTACAACTACCACGCCTACAACAACTACCACACCTACAACAACTACCACGCCTACTACAACTACCACGCCTACAACAACTACCACACCTACAACAACTACCACGCCTACAATAACTACCACACCTACAACAACTACAACACCTTCTACAACTACCACACCTACAACAACTACCACACCTTCTACAACTACCACGCCTACTACAACTACCACACCTACAACAACTACCACACCCACAACAACTACCACGCCTACTACAACTACCACGCCGACAACAACAACCACACCTACAACAACTACCACACCTACAACAACTACCAAACCTTCAACAGCTACATTACTAACAACAACTACCACACCTACAACAACTACCACGCCTACTACAACTACCACACCCACAACAACTACCACGCCTAATACAACAACCACGCCTACATCAACTACAACACCTACAACAACTACCACACCTACAACAACTACTACACCTTCTACAACTACCAAGCCTACTACAACTACCACGCCTACAACAACTACCACACCCACAACAACTACCACGCCTAATACAACTAACACGCATACAACAACAACCACACCTACAACAACTACCACACCTACAACAACTACCAAACCTTCAACAGCTACATTACTAACAACAACTACCACACCTACAACAACTACTAATTCTACAACAACTACAAAACTTACAAAAACTACCACACCTCCAACAACTACTAGTTCTACAAAAACTACAAAACTTACAACAACTACCACACCTACAACAACTACCACACCTACAACAACTACAACACTCTCAACAACTACCACGCCTACAACAACTAACACGCCTACAACAACTACCACACCTACAACAACTACCATGCCTACTACAACTACCACACCCGCAACAACTACCACACCCACAACAACTACCACGCCTACTACAACTACCACGCCTACTACAACTACCACACCCACAACAACAACCACACCTACAACAACTACCACACCTACAACAACTATCAAACCTTCAACAGCTACATTACTAACAACAACTACCAAACCTACAACAACTACTACGTCTACAACAACTACCACACCTACAACAACTACTAGTTCTACACCAACTACAAAACCTACAACAACTACCACACCTACAACATTTACAACACCCTCAACAACTACCACGCCTACAACCACTACCACGCCTACAACAACTACCACATCTACAACAACTACCACGCCTACTACAACTACCACACCCACAACAACTACCACGCCTAATACAACAACCGCGCCTACAACAACTACCACACCTACAACAACTACCACACCTACAACAACTACCACACCTTCTACAACTACCACGCCTACTACAACTACCACGCCTACAACAACAACCACACCTACAACAACTACCACGCCTACTACAACTACCATGCCTACAAAAAGTACCACACCTACAACAACTACCACGCCTACAACAACTACCAAACCTACAACAACTACTGCACCTTCTACAACTACTACGCCAACTACAACTACCACACCTACAACAACTACCACACCCACAACAACTACCACGCCTACTACAACTACCACGCCTACAACAACAACCATACCTACAACAACTACCACACCTACAACAACTACCAAACCTTCAACAGCTACATTACTAACAACAACTACCACACCTACAACAACTACTAGTTCTACAACAACTACAAAACCTACAATAACTACCACACCTACAACAACTACAACTCCCTCAACAACTACCACGCATACAACAACTACCACGCCTACAACAACTACCACACCTACAACAACTACCACGCCTACTACAACTACCACACCCGCAACAACTACCACGCCTACAACAACTACCACACCTACAACAACTACCACGCCTACTACAACTACCACACCCAAAACAACTACCACGCCTAATACAACAACCACGCCTACAACAACTATCACACCATCAACAACTACCACACCTACAACAACTACTACACCTTCTACAACTACCACGCCTACTACAACTACCACACCTACAACAGCTACCACACCCACAACAACTACCACGCCTACTACAACTACCACGCCTACAACAACAACCACACCTACAACAACTACCACACCTACAACAACTACCAAACCTTCAACAGCTACATTACTAACAACAACTACCACACCTACAACAACTACTAATTCTACAACAACTACAAAACTTACAACAACTACCACACCTCCAACAACTACTAGTTCTACAAAAACTACAAAACTTACAACAACTACCACACCTACAACAACTACCACACCTACAACAACTACAACACTCTCAACAACTACCACGCCTACAACAACTAACACGCCTACAACAACTACCACACCTACAACAACTACCATGCCTACTACAACTACCACACCCGCAACAACTACCACACCCACAACAACTACCACGCCTACTACAACTACCACGCCTACTACAACTACCACACCCACAACAACAACCACACCTACAACAACTACCACACCTACAACAACTATCAAACCTTCAACAGCTACATTACTAACAACAACTACCAAACCTACAACAACTACTACGTCTACAACAACTACCACACCTACAACAACTACTAGTTCTACACCAACTACAAAACCTACAACAACTACCACACCTACAACATTTACAACACCCTCAACAACTACCACGCCTACAACCACTACCACGCCTACAACAACTACCACATCTACAACAACTACCACGCCTACTACAACTACCACACCCACAACAACTACCACGCCTAATACAACAACCGCGCCTACAACAACTACCACACCTACAACAACTACCACACCTACAACAACTACCACACCTTCAACAACTACCACGCCTACTACAACTACCACGCCTACAACAACAACCACACCTACAACAACTACCACGCCTACTACAACTACCATGCCTACAAAAACTACCACACCTACAACAACTACCACGCCTACGACAACTACCAAACCTACAACAACTACTGCACCTTCTACAACTACTACGCCAACTACAACTACCACACCTACAACAACTACCACACCCACAACAACTACCACGCCTACTACAACTACCACGCCTACAACAACAACCATACCTACAACAACTACCACACCTACAACAACTACCAAACCTTCAACAGCTACATTACTAACAACAACTACCACACCTACAACAACTACTAGTTCTACAACAACTACAAAACCTACAATAACTACCACACCTACAACAACTACAACTCCCTCAACAACTACCACGCATACAACAACTACCACGCCTACAACAACTACCACACCTACAACAACTACCACGCCTACTACAACTACCACACCCGCAACAACTACCACGCCTACAACAACTACCACACCTACAACAACTACCACGCCTACTACAACTACCACACCCAAAACAACTACCACGCCTAATACAACAACCACGCCTACAACAACTATCACACCATCAACAACTACCACACCTACAACAACTACTACACCTTCTACAACTACCACGCCTACTACAACTACCACACCTACAACAGCTACCACACCCACAACAACTACCACGCCTACTACAACTACCACGCCTACAACAACAACCACACCTACAACAACTACCACACCTACAACAACTACCAAACCTTCAACAGCTACATTACTAACAACAACTACCACACCTACAACAACTACTAATTCTACAACAACTACAAAACTTACAACAACTACCACACCTACAACAACTACCACACCTACAACAACTACCAAACCTTCAACAGCTACATTACTAACAACAACTACCACACCTACAACAACTACTAATTCTACAACAACTACAAATTTTACAACACCTACCACACCTACAACACCTACCATGCCTACTACAACTACCACACCCGCAACAACTACCACGCCTACTACAACTACCACACCCACAACAACTACCACGCCTAATACAACTACCACACCTACAACAACTACCACGCCTACTACAACTACCACACCCACAACAACTACCACGCCTACTACAACTACCACGCCTACAACAACAACCACACCTACAACAACTACCACACCTACAACAACTACCAAACCTTCAACAGCTACATTACTAACAACAACTACCACACCTACAACAACTACTACGTCTACAACAACTACCACACCTACAACAACTACTAGTTCTACACCAACTACAAAACCTACAACAACTACCACACCTACAACAACTACAACACCCTCAACAACTACCACGCCTTCAACCACTACCACGCCTACAACAACTACCACATCTACAACAACTACCACGTCTATTACAACTACCACACCCACAACAACTACCACGCCTAATACAACAACCACGCCTACAACAACTACCACACCTACAACAACTACCAAACCTACAACAACTACCACACCTTCTCCAACTACCACGCCTACTACAACTACCACGCCTACAACAACTACCACACCTACAACAACTACCACGCCTACTACAACTACCATGCCTACAACAACTACCACACCTACAACAACTACCACGCCTACAACAACTACCACACCCACAACAACTTCCACACCTACAACAACTACCATGCCTACAACAACTACCACACCTACAACAGCTATCACACCTACAACAACTACTAATTCTACAACAACTACAAAACTTACAACACCTACCACACCTACAACACCTACCATGCCTACTACAACTACCACACCCGCAACAACTACCACGCCTACTACAACTACCACACCCACAACAACTACCACGCCTAATACAACTACCACACCTACAACAACTACCACGCCTACTACAACTACCACACCCACAACAACTACCACGCCTACTACAACTACCACGCCTACAACAAGAACCACACCTACAACAACTACCACACCTACAACAACTACCAAACCTTCAACAGCTACATTACTAACAACAACTACCACACCTACAACAACTACTACGTCTACAACAACTACCACACCTACAACAACTACTAGTTCTACACCAACTACAAAACCTACAACAACTACCACACCTACAACAACTACAACACCCTCAACAACTACCACGCCTTCAACCACTACCACGCCTACAACAACTACCACATCTACAACAACTACCACGTCTATTACAACTACCACACCCACAACAACTACCACGCCTAATACAACAACCACGCCTACAACAACTACCACACCTACAACAACTACCACACCTACAACAACTACCACACCTTCTACAACTACCACGCCTACTACAACTACCACGCCTACAACAACTACCACACCTACAACTACTACCACGCCTACTAAAACTACCATGCCTACAACAACTACCACACCTACAACAACTACTGCACCTTCTACAACTACTACGCCAACTACAACTACCACACCTACAACAACTACCACACCCACAACAACTACCACGCCTACTACAACTACCACGCCTACAACAACAACCATACCTACAACAACTACCACACCTACAACAACTACCAAACCTTCAACAGCTACATTACTAACAACAACTACCACGCCTACTACAACTACCACACCCACAACAACTACCACGCCTAATACAACAACCACGCCTACAACAACTACCACACCTACAACAACTACCACACCTACAACAACTACTACACCTTCTACAACTACCACGCCTACTACAACTACCTCGCCTACAACAACTACCACACCCACAACAACTACCACGCCTACAACAACAACCACACCTACAACAACTACCACACCTACAACAACTACCAAACCTTCAACAGCTACATTACTAACAACAACTACCACACCTACAACAACTACTAGTTCTACAACAACTACAAAACCTACAATAACTACCACACCTACAACAACTACAACTCCCTCAACAACTACCACGCATACAACAACTACCACGCCTACAACAACTACAACACCTACAACAACTACCACGCCTACTACAACTACCACACCCACAACAACTACCACGCCTAATACAACAACCACGCCTACAACAACTACCACACCTACAACAACTACTACACCTTCTACAACTACCACGCCTACTACAACTACCATGCCTACAACAACTACCACACCTACAACAGCTACCACACCTACAACAACTACCAAACCTTCAACAGCTACATTACTAACAACAACTACCAAACCTACATTAACTACTACGTCTACAACAACTACCACACCTACAACAACTACTAGTTCTACAACAACTACAAAACCTACAACAACTACCACACCTACAACAACTACAACTACCACACCTACTACAACTACCACGCCTACAACAACAACCACATCTACAACAACTACCACACCTACAACAACTACCACACCTACAACAACTACCACACCTTCTACAACTACCACACCCACAACAACTACCACACCTACAACAACTACCACACCTTCAACAGCTACATTACTAACAACAACTACCACACCTACAACAACTACAACACCTACAACAACCACCACACATACAACAACTACAACACCCACAACAACTACCACGCCTGCTACAACTACCACGCTCACAACAGCTACCACACCTACAACAACTACCATGCCTTCTACAACTACCACACCCACAACAACTACCACGCCTAATACAACTACAACGCCTACAACAACTACCACACCTACAAAAATTACCGAACCTACAACAGTTACATTACTAACAACAACTACCACTCCTACAACAACTATTACTTCTACAACAACTACACCTACAACAACTACTACGTCTACAACAACTACAATATCTACAGCAACTACCACACCTACAACAACTACAAAACCCACAACAACTACCACGCCTACTACAACTACCACGCCTACAACTATTGCCACACCTACAACAACTACCACACCTACAACAACTAACACACCTACAAAAACTGCTACACCTACAACAACTACAACACCTACAACAACCACCACACATACAACAACTTCCACGCCTACTACAACTACCACACCCACAACAACTACCACGCCTAATACAACAACCACGCCTACAACAACTACCACACCCACAACAACTACCACACCTTCAACAGCTACATTACTAACAACAACTATAAAACCCACAACAACTACAACACCTGCAACAACCACCACACCTACAACAACTACAACACCTACAACAACTACCACGCCTAGTAAAACTACCACACCTACAACAACTACCACACTTACAACAACTACCACGCCTACTACAACTACCACGCCTACAACAACTACCACACCTTCAACAATAACCATACCTACAACAACTACAATACCCACAACAACTACCACGCCTACATCAACTACTACGGCTACTACACCTTCCACGCCTACAACAACTACCACACCTACAACAACTACAACACCTACAACAACTACCACGCCTACTATGACTACCACGCCTAATACAACAACCAAGCCTACAACAACTACCACACCTACAACAACTACCACACCTTCTACAACTACCACACCCACAACAACTACCACACCTACAATAACTACCACACCTTCAACAGCTACATTACTAACAACAACTACCACACCTACAACAACTATTACGTCTACAACAACTACCAGACCTGCAACAACTACTACGCCTACTACAACTACCAAGCCTACAACAACCTCCACGCCTACAACAACTACCACACATACAACATCCACTACACCTACAACAACTACCACACCGACTACAACTACATCACCTACAACAACAACCACGCCTACTACAACTACCACGCCTACAACAACTACCGCACCTACAACAACAAATACGCCTAATACAACTACCACTCCTATAACAACTACCACACCTACAACAACTACTACACCTACAACAACAACCACGCCTACAACAACTACCACACCTACAACAACTACCACACCTTCTACAACTACAACACTCACAACAACTACCACACCTACAACAACTACCACACCTTCAACGGCTACATTACTAACAACAACTACCACACCTACAACAACTACTACGTTTACAACTACCACTCCTACAACAACTACCACGCCTACGACAACTACCACGCCTACAAGAACTACTACACCTACAACAACTACCACGCCTACTACAACTACCACACCCACAACAACTACCACGCCTAATACAACTACCACGCCTACAACAACTACCACACCTACAACAACTACCACACCTACAAAAATTACCGAACCTACAACAGCTACATTACTAACAACAACTACCACACCTACAACAACTATTACGTCTACAACAACTACCACACCTACAACAACTACTACCTCTACAACAACTACAATACCTACAGCAACTACCATACATACAACAACTACAAAACCCACAACAACTACCACGCCTACTACAACTACCAGGCCTAAAACTATTACCACACCTTTAACAACTACCACACCTACAACAACTACAACACATGCAACAACTACCACACCTTCTCCAACTACCACACCCACAACAACTACCTCACCTACAACAACTACAACACCTTCAACAGCTACATTACTAACAACAACTACCACACCTACAACAACTACTACGTCTGCAACAACTACTACACCTACAACAACTACAACACCTACAACAACCACCACACCTACAACAACTACAACACCCACAACAACTACCACGACTGCTACAACTACACCGCTCACAACAGCTACCACACCTACAACAACTACCATGCCTACTACAACTACCACACCCACAACAACTACCACGCCCAATACAACTACAACGCCTACAACAACTACCACACCTACAACAACTACCACACCCACAACAACTACCACGCCTACAACAACTACTACGCCTACAACAACAACCACACCTACAACAACTACCACACCTACAACAACTACCAAACCTTCAACAGCTACATTACTAACAACAACTACCACACCTACAACAACTACCACGCCTACTACAACTACCACACCCACAACAACTACCACGCCTACTACAACTACCACACCCACAACAACTACCACGCCTACTACAACTACCACGCCTACAACAACAACCACACCTACAACAACTACCACACCTACAACAACTACCAAACCTTCAACAGCTACATTACTAACAACAACTACCACGCCTACTACAACTACCACACCCACAACAACCACCACGCCTAATACAACAACCACGCCTACATCAACTACCACACCTACAACAACTACCACACCTACAACAACTACTACACCTTCTACAACTAACAAGCCTACTACAACTACCACACCTACAACAACTACCACACCCACAACAACTACCACGCCTACTACAACTAACACGCCTACAACAACAACCACACCTACAACAACTACCACACCTACAACAACTACCAAACCTTCAACAGCTACATTACTAACAACAACTACCACACCTACAACAACTACTAGTTCTACAACAACTACAAAACTTACAACAACTACCACACCTAAATCAACTACCACACCTACAACAACTACAACACCCTCAACAACTACCACGCCTACAACAACTAACACGCCTACAACAACTACCATACCTACAACAACTACCATGCCTACTACAACTACCACACCCGCAACAACTACCACGCCTACTACAACTACCACACCTACAACAACTACCACGCCTACTACAACTACCACACCCACAACAACTACCACGCCTACTACAACTACCACGCCTACTACAACTACCACATCTACAACAACTACCACGCCTACTACAACTACCACACCCACAACAACTACCACGCCTAATACAACAACCGCGCCTACAACAACTACCACACCTACAACAACTACTAGTTCTACACCAACTACAAAACCTACAACAACTACCACACCTACAACAACTACAACACCCTCAACAACTACCACGCCTACAACCACTACCACGCCTACAACAACTACCACATCTACAACAACTACCACGCCTACTACAACTACCACACCCACAACAACTACCACGCCTAATACAACAACCACGCCTACAACAACTACCACACCTACAACAACTACCACACCTACAACAACTACCACACCTTCTACAACTACCACGCCTACTACAACTACCACGCCTACAACAACAACCACACCTACAACAACTACCACGCCTACTACAACTACCACGCCTACAACAACTACCACGCCTACAACAACTACCACGCCTACAACAACTACCAAACCTACAACAACTACCACGCCTACTACAACTACCACACCCACAACAACTACCACGCCTACAACAACTACCACACATTCTACAACTACCACGCCTACTACAACTACCACGCCTACAACAACTACCACACCTACAACAACTACCACGCCTACTACAACTACCACGCCTACAACAACTACCACACCTACAACAACTACCACGACTACAATAACTACCACACCTACAACAACTACAACACCTTCTACAACTACCACGCCTACAATAACTACCACACCTTCTACAACTACCACGCCTACTACAACTACCACACCTACAACAACTACCACACCCACAACAACTACCACGCCTGCTACAACTACCACGCCTACAACAACAACCACACCTACAACAACTACCACACCTACAACAACTACCAAACCTTCAACAGCTACATTACTAACAACAACTACCACACCTACAACAACTACCACGCCTACTACAACTACCACACCCACAACAACTACCACGCCTAATACAACAACCACGCCTACATCAACTACCACACCTAAAACAACTACCACACCTACAACAACTACTACACCTTCTACAACTACCAACCCTACTACAACTACCACGCCTACAACAACTACCACACCCACAACAACTACCACGCCTACTACAACTAACACGCATACAACAACAACCACACCTACAACAACTACCACACCTACAACAACTACCAAACCTTCAACAGCTACATTACTAACAACAACTACCACACCTACAACAACTACTAGTTCTACAAAAACTACAAAACTTACAACAACTACCACACCTACAACAACTACCACACCTACAACAACTACAACACCCTCAACAACTACCACGCCTACAACAACTAACACGCCTACAACAACTACCACACCTACAACAACTACCATGCCTACTACAACTACCACACCCGCAAGAACTATCACGCCTACTACAACTACCACACCCACAACAACTACCACGCCTAATACAACTACCACACCTACAACAACTACCACGCCTACTACAACTACCACACCCACAACAACTACCACGCCTACTACAACTACCACGCCTACTACAACTACCACACCCACAACAACAACCACACCTACAACAACTACCACACCTACAACAACTATCAAACCTTCAACAGCTACATTACTAACAACAACTACCAAACCTACAACAACTACTACGTCTACAACAACTACCACACCTACAACAACTACTAGTTCTACACCAACTACAAAACCTACAACAACTACCACACCTACAACATTTACAACACCCTCAACAACTACCTCGCCTACAACCACTACCACGCCTTCAACAACTACCACATCTACAACAACTACCACGCCTACTACAACTACCACACCCACAACAACTACCACGCCTAATACAACTACCACACCTACAACAACTACCACACCTTCTACAACTACCACGCCTACTACAACTACCACGCCTACAACAACAACCACACCTACAACAACTACCACGCCTACTACAACTACCATGCCTACAACAACTACCACACCTACAACAACTACCACGCCTACAACAACTACCAAACCTACAACAACTACCACGCCTACTACAACTACCACACCCACAACAACTACCACGCCTAATACAACAACCACGCCTACAACACCTACCACACCTACAACAACTACTGCACCTTCTACACCAACTACAAAACCTACAACAACTACCACGCCTACTTCAACTACCACACCCACAACAACTACCACGCCTAATACAACAACCGCGCCTACAACAACTACCACGCCTACTACAACTACCACGCCTACAACAACAACCACACCTACAACAACTACCACGCCTACTACAACTACCATGCCTACAACAACTACCACACCTACAACAACTACCACGCCTACAACAACTACCAAACCTACAACAACTACCACGCCTACTACAACTACCACACCCACAACAACTACCAAGCCTAATACAACAACCACGCCTACAACACCTACCACACCTACAACAACTACTGCACCTTCTACAACTACTACGCCAACTACAACTACCACACCTACAACAACTACCACACCCACAACAACTACCACGCCTACTACAACTACCACGCCTACAAGAACAACCATACCTACAACAACTACCACACCTACAACAACTACCAAACCTTCAACAGCTACATTACTAACAACAACTACCACACCTACAACAACTACTAGTTCTACAACAACTACAAAACCTACAATAACTACCACACCTACAACAACTACAACTCCCTCAACAACTACCACGCATACAACAACTACCACGCCTACAACAACTACCACACCTACAACAACTACCACGCCTACTACAACTACCACACCTACAACAACTACCACACCCACAACAACTACCACGCCTACTACAACTAACACGCCTACAACAACAACCACACCTACAACAACTACCACACCTACAACAACTACCAAACCTTCAACAGCTACATTACTAACAACAACTACCACACCTACAACAACTACTAGTTCTACAACAACTACAAAACTTACAACAACTACCACACCTACAACAACTACCACACCTACAACAACTACAACACCCTCAACAACTACCACGCCTACAACAACTAACACGCCTACAACAACTACCATACCTACAACAACTACCATGCCTACTACAACTACCACACCCGCAACAACTACCACGCCTATTACAACTACCACACCCACAACTACTACCACGCCTAATACAACTACCACACCTACAAAAACTACCACGCCTACTACAACTACCACACACACAACAACTACCACGCCTACTACAACTACCACGCCTACTACAACTACCACATCTACAACAACTACCACGCCTACTACAACTACCACACCCACAACAACTACCACGCCTAATACAACAACCGCGCCTACAACAACTACCACACCTACAACAACTACTAGTTCTACACCAACTACAAAACCTACAACAACTACCACACCTACAACAACTACAACACCCTCAACAACTACCACGCCTACAACCACTACCACGCCTACAACAACTACCACATCTACAACAACTACCACGCCTACTACAACTACCACACCCACAACAACTACCACGCCTAATACAACAACCGCGCCTACAACAACTACCACACCTACAACAACTACCACACCTACAACAACTACCACACCTTCTACAACTACCACGCCTACTACAACTACCACGCCTACAACAACAACCACACCTACAACAACTACCACGCCTACTACAACTACCATGCCTACAACAACTACCACACCTACAACAACTACCACGCCTACAACAACTACCACGCCTACAACAACTACCAAACCTACAACAACTACCACGCCTACTACAACTACCACACCCACAACAACTACCACGCCTACAACAACTACCACACCTTCTACAACTACCACGCCTACTACAACTACCACGCCTACAACAACTACCACACCTACAACAACTACCACGCCTACTACAACTACCACGCCTACAACAACTACCACACCTACAACAACTACCACGCCTACAATAACTACCACACCTACAACAACTACAACACCTTCTACAACTACCACACCTACAACAACTACCACACCTTCTACAACTACCACGCCTACTACAACTACCACACCTACAACAACTACCACACCCACAACAACTACCACGCCTACTACAACTACCACGCCGACAACAACAACCACACCTACAACAACTACCACACCTACAACAACTACCAAACCTTCAACAGCTACATTACTAACAACAACTACCACACCTACAACAACTACCACGCCTACTACAACTACCACACCCACAACAACTACCACGCCTAATACAACAACCACGCCTACATCAACTACAACACCTACAACAACTACCACACCTACAACAACTACTACACCTTCTACAACTACCAAGCCTACTACAACTACCACGCCTACAACAACTACCACACCCACAACAACTACCACGCCTAATACAACTAACACGCATACAACAACAACCACACCTACAACAACTACCACACCTACAACAACTACCAAACCTTCAACAGCTACATTACTAACAACAACTACCACACCTACAACAACTACTAATTCTACAACAACTACAAAACTTACAAAAACTACCACACCTCCAACAACTACTAGTTCTACAAAAACTACAAAACTTACAACAACTACCACACCTACAACAACTACCACACCTACAACAACTACAACACTCTCAACAACTACCACGCCTACAACAACTAACACGCCTACAACAACTACCACACCTACAACAACTACCATGCCTACTACAACTACCACACCCGCAACAACTACCACACCCACAACAACTACCACGCCTACTACAACTACCACGCCTACTACAACTACCACACCCACAACAACAACCACACCTACAACAACTACCACACCTACAACAACTATCAAACCTTCAACAGCTACATTACTAACAACAACTACCAAACCTACAACAACTACTACGTCTACAACAACTACCACACCTACAACAACTACTAGTTCTACACCAACTACAAAACCTACAACAACTACCACACCTACAACATTTACAACACCCTCAACAACTACCACGCCTACAACCACTACCACGCCTACAACAACTACCACATCTACAACAACTACCACGCCTACTACAACTACCACACCCACAACAACTACCACGCCTAATACAACAACCGCGCCTACAACAACTACCACACCTACAACAACTACCACACCTACAACAACTACCACACCTTCTACAACTACCACGCCTACTACAACTACCACGCCTACAACAACAACCACACCTACAACAACTACCACGCCTACTACAACTACCATGCCTACAAAAAGTACCACACCTACAACAACTACCACGCCTACAACAACTACCAAACCTACAACAACTACTGCACCTTCTACAACTACTACGCCAACTACAACTACCACACCTACAACAACTACCACACCCACAACAACTACCACGCCTACTACAACTACCACGCCTACAACAACAACCATACCTACAACAACTACCACACCTACAACAACTACCAAACCTTCAACAGCTACATTACTAACAACAACTACCACACCTACAACAACTACTAGTTCTACAACAACTACAAAACCTACAATAACTACCACACCTACAACAACTACAACTCCCTCAACAACTACCACGCATACAACAACTACCACGCCTACAACAACTACCACACCTACAACAACTACCACGCCTACTACAACTACCACACCCGCAACAACTACCACGCCTACAACAACTACCACACCTACAACAACTACCACGCCTACTACAACTACCACACCCAAAACAACTACCACGCCTAATACAACAACCACGCCTACAACAACTATCACACCATCAACAACTACCACACCTACAACAACTACTACACCTTCTACAACTACCACGCCTACTACAACTACCACACCTACAACAGCTACCACACCCACAACAACTACCACGCCTACTACAACTACCACGCCTACAACAACAACCACACCTACAACAACTACCACACCTACAACAACTACCAAACCTTCAACAGCTACATTACTAACAACAACTACCACACCTACAACAACTACTAATTCTACAACAACTACAAAACTTACAACAACTACCACACCTCCAACAACTACTAGTTCTACAAAAACTACAAAACTTACAACAACTACCACACCTACAACAACTACCACACCTACAACAACTACAACACTCTCAACAACTACCACGCCTACAACAACTAACACGCCTACAACAACTACCACACCTACAACAACTACCATGCCTACTACAACTACCACACCCGCAACAACTACCACACCCACAACAACTACCACGCCTACTACAACTACCACGCCTACTACAACTACCACACCCACAACAACAACCACACCTACAACAACTACCACACCTACAACAACTATCAAACCTTCAACAGCTACATTACTAACAACAACTACCAAACCTACAACAACTACTACGTCTACAACAACTACCACACCTACAACAACTACTAGTTCTACACCAACTACAAAACCTACAACAACTACCACACCTACAACATTTACAACACCCTCAACAACTACCACGCCTACAACCACTACCACGCCTACAACAACTACCACATCTACAACAACTACCACGCCTACTACAACTACCACACCCACAACAACTACCACGCCTAATACAACAACCGCGCCTACAACAACTACCACACCTACAACAACTACCACACCTACAACAACTACCACACCTTCAACAACTACCACGCCTACTACAACTACCACGCCTACAACAACAACCACACCTACAACAACTACCACGCCTACTACAACTACCATGCCTACAAAAACTACCACACCTACAACAACTACCACGCCTACGACAACTACCAAACCTACAACAACTACTGCACCTTCTACAACTACTACGCCAACTACAACTACCACACCTACAACAACTACCACACCCACAACAACTACCACGCCTACTACAACTACCACGCCTACAACAACAACCATACCTACAACAACTACCACACCTACAACAACTACCAAACCTTCAACAGCTACATTACTAACAACAACTACCACACCTACAACAACTACTAGTTCTACAACAACTACAAAACCTACAATAACTACCACACCTACAACAACTACAACTCCCTCAACAACTACCACGCATACAACAACTACCACGCCTACAACAACTACCACACCTACAACAACTACCACGCCTACTACAACTACCACACCCGCAACAACTACCACGCCTACAACAACTACCACACCTACAACAACTACCACGCCTACTACAACTACCACACCCAAAACAACTACCACGCCTAATACAACAACCACGCCTACAACAACTATCACACCATCAACAACTACCACACCTACAACAACTACTACACCTTCTACAACTACCACGCCTACTACAACTACCACACCTACAACAGCTACCACACCCACAACAACTACCACGCCTACTACAACTACCACGCCTACAACAACAACCACACCTACAACAACTACCACACCTACAACAACTACCAAACCTTCAACAGCTACATTACTAACAACAACTACCACACCTACAACAACTACTAATTCTACAACAACTACAAAACTTACAACAACTACCACACCTACAACAACTACCACACCTACAACAACTACCAAACCTTCAACAGCTACATTACTAACAACAACTACCACACCTACAACAACTACTAATTCTACAACAACTACAAATTTTACAACACCTACCACACCTACAACACCTACCATGCCTACTACAACTACCACACCCGCAACAACTACCACGCCTACTACAACTACCACACCCACAACAACTACCACGCCTAATACAACTACCACACCTACAACAACTACCACGCCTACTACAACTACCACACCCACAACAACTACCACGCCTACTACAACTACCACGCCTACAACAACAACCACACCTACAACAACTACCACACCTACAACAACTACCAAACCTTCAACAGCTACATTACTAACAACAACTACCACACCTACAACAACTACTACGTCTACAACAACTACCACACCTACAACAACTACTAGTTCTACACCAACTACAAAACCTACAACAACTACCACACCTACAACAACTACAACACCCTCAACAACTACCACGCCTTCAACCACTACCACGCCTACAACAACTACCACATCTACAACAACTACCACGTCTATTACAACTACCACACCCACAACAACTACCACGCCTAATACAACAACCACGCCTACAACAACTACCACACCTACAACAACTACCAAACCTACAACAACTACCACACCTTCTCCAACTACCACGCCTACTACAACTACCACGCCTACAACAACTACCACACCTACAACAACTACCACGCCTACTACAACTACCATGCCTACAACAACTACCACACCTACAACAACTACCACGCCTACAACAACTACCACACCCACAACAACTTCCACACCTACAACAACTACCATGCCTACAACAACTACCACACCTACAACAGCTATCACACCTACAACAACTACTAATTCTACAACAACTACAAAACTTACAACACCTACCACACCTACAACACCTACCATGCCTACTACAACTACCACACCCGCAACAACTACCACGCCTACTACAACTACCACACCCACAACAACTACCACGCCTAATACAACTACCACACCTACAACAACTACCACGCCTACTACAACTACCACACCCACAACAACTACCACGCCTACTACAACTACCACGCCTACAACAAGAACCACACCTACAACAACTACCACACCTACAACAACTACCAAACCTTCAACAGCTACATTACTAACAACAACTACCACACCTACAACAACTACTACGTCTACAACAACTACCACACCTACAACAACTACTAGTTCTACACCAACTACAAAACCTACAACAACTACCACACCTACAACAACTACAACACCCTCAACAACTACCACGCCTTCAACCACTACCACGCCTACAACAACTACCACATCTACAACAACTACCACGTCTATTACAACTACCACACCCACAACAACTACCACGCCTAATACAACAACCACGCCTACAACAACTACCACACCTACAACAACTACCACACCTACAACAACTACCACACCTTCTACAACTACCACGCCTACTACAACTACCACGCCTACAACAACTACCACACCTACAACTACTACCACGCCTACTAAAACTACCATGCCTACAACAACTACCACACCTACAACAACTACTGCACCTTCTACAACTACTACGCCAACTACAACTACCACACCTACAACAACTACCACACCCACAACAACTACCACGCCTACTACAACTACCACGCCTACAACAACAACCATACCTACAACAACTACCACACCTACAACAACTACCAAACCTTCAACAGCTACATTACTAACAACAACTACCACGCCTACTACAACTACCACACCCACAACAACTACCACGCCTAATACAACAACCACGCCTACAACAACTACCACACCTACAACAACTACCACACCTACAACAACTACTACACCTTCTACAACTACCACGCCTACTACAACTACCTCGCCTACAACAACTACCACACCCACAACAACTACCACGCCTACAACAACAACCACACCTACAACAACTACCACACCTACAACAACTACCAAACCTTCAACAGCTACATTACTAACAACAACTACCACACCTACAACAACTACTAGTTCTACAACAACTACAAAACCTACAATAACTACCACACCTACAACAACTACAACTCCCTCAACAACTACCACGCATACAACAACTACCACGCCTACAACAACTACAACACCTACAACAACTACCACGCCTACTACAACTACCACACCCACAACAACTACCACGCCTAATACAACAACCACGCCTACAACAACTACCACACCTACAACAACTACTACACCTTCTACAACTACCACGCCTACTACAACTACCATGCCTACAACAACTACCACACCTACAACAGCTACCACACCTACAACAACTACCAAACCTTCAACAGCTACATTACTAACAACAACTACCAAACCTACATTAACTACTACGTCTACAACAACTACCACACCTACAACAACTACTAGTTCTACAACAACTACAAAACCTACAACAACTACCACACCTACAACAACTACAACTACCACACCTACTACAACTACCACGCCTACAACAACAACCACATCTACAACAACTACCACACCTACAACAACTACCACACCTACAACAACTACCACACCTTCTACAACTACCACACCCACAACAACTACCACACCTACAACAACTACCACACCTTCAACAGCTACATTACTAACAACAACTACCACACCTACAACAACTACAACACCTACAACAACCACCACACATACAACAACTACAACACCCACAACAACTACCACGCCTGCTACAACTACCACGCTCACAACAGCTACCACACCTACAACAACTACCATGCCTTCTACAACTACCACACCCACAACAACTACCACGCCTAATACAACTACAACGCCTACAACAACTACCACACCTACAAAAATTACCGAACCTACAACAGTTACATTACTAACAACAACTACCACTCCTACAACAACTATTACTTCTACAACAACTACACCTACAACAACTACTACGTCTACAACAACTACAATATCTACAGCAACTACCACACCTACAACAACTACAAAACCCACAACAACTACCACGCCTACTACAACTACCACGCCTACAACTATTGCCACACCTACAACAACTACCACACCTACAACAACTAACACACCTACAAAAACTGCTACACCTACAACAACTACAACACCTACAACAACCACCACACATACAACAACTTCCACGCCTACTACAACTACCACACCCACAACAACTACCACGCCTAATACAACAACCACGCCTACAACAACTACCACACCCACAACAACTACCACACCTTCAACAGCTACATTACTAACAACAACTATAAAACCCACAACAACTACAACACCTGCAACAACCACCACACCTACAACAACTACAACACCTACAACAACTACCACGCCTAGTAAAACTACCACACCTACAACAACTACCACACTTACAACAACTACCACGCCTACTACAACTACCACGCCTACAACAACTACCACACCTTCAACAATAACCATACCTACAACAACTACAATACCCACAACAACTACCACGCCTACATCAACTACTACGGCTACTACACCTTCCACGCCTACAACAACTACCACACCTACAACAACTACAACACCTACAACAACTACCACGCCTACTATGACTACCACGCCTAATACAACAACCAAGCCTACAACAACTACCACACCTACAACAACTACCACACCTTCTACAACTACCACACCCACAACAACTACCACACCTACAATAACTACCACACCTTCAACAGCTACATTACTAACAACAACTACCACACCTACAACAACTATTACGTCTACAACAACTACCAGACCTGCAACAACTACTACGCCTACTACAACTACCAAGCCTACAACAACCTCCACGCCTACAACAACTACCACACATACAACATCCACTACACCTACAACAACTACCACACCGACTACAACTACATCACCTACAACAACAACCACGCCTACTACAACTACCACGCCTACAACAACTACCGCACCTACAACAACAAATACGCCTAATACAACTACCACTCCTATAACAACTACCACACCTACAACAACTACTACACCTACAACAACAACCACGCCTACAACAACTACCACACCTACAACAACTACCACACCTTCTACAACTACAACACTCACAACAACTACCACACCTACAACAACTACCACACCTTCAACGGCTACATTACTAACAACAACTACCACACCTACAACAACTACTACGTTTACAACTACCACTCCTACAACAACTACCACGCCTACGACAACTACCACGCCTACAAGAACTACTACACCTACAACAACTACCACGCCTACTACAACTACCACACCCACAACAACTACCACGCCTAATACAACTACCACGCCTACAACAACTACCACACCTACAACAACTACCACACCTACAAAAATTACCGAACCTACAACAGCTACATTACTAACAACAACTACCACACCTACAACAACTATTACGTCTACAACAACTACCACACCTACAACAACTACTACCTCTACAACAACTACAATACCTACAGCAACTACCATACATACAACAACTACAAAACCCACAACAACTACCACGCCTACTACAACTACCAGGCCTAAAACTATTACCACACCTTTAACAACTACCACACCTACAACAACTACAACACATGCAACAACTACCACACCTTCTCCAACTACCACACCCACAACAACTACCTCACCTACAACAACTACAACACCTTCAACAGCTACATTACTAACAACAACTACCACACCTACAACAACTACTACGTCTGCAACAACTACTACACCTACAACAACTACAACACCTACAACAACCACCACACCTACAACAACTACAACACCCACAACAACTACCACGACTGCTACAACTACACCGCTCACAACAGCTACCACACCTACAACAACTACCATGCCTACTACAACTACCACACCCACAACAACTACCACGCCCAATACAACTACAACGCCTACAACAACTACCACACCTACAAAAATTACCGAACCTACAACAGTTACATTACTAACAACAACTACCACACCTACAACAACTATTACGTCTACAACAACTACCACACCTACAACAACTACTACGTCTACAACAACTACAATACCTACAGCAACTACCACACCTACAACAACTACAAAACCCAATACAACTACCACGCCTACTACAATTACCACGCCTACAACTATTACCACACCTACAACAACTACCACACCTACAACAACTAACACACCTACAAAAACTGCTACACCTACAACAACTACCACATCCACAACAACTACCACGCCTAATACAACAACCACGCCTACAACAACTACCACACCTACAACAACTACCCCACCTTCTACAACTACCACACCCACAACAACTACCACACCTACAACAACTACCACACCTTCAACAGCTACATTACTAACAACAACTACCACACCTACAACAACTACCAGACCTGCAACAACTACTACGCCTACTACAACTACCAAGCCTACAACAGCCTCCACGCCTACAACAACTACCACACATACAACATCCACTACACCTACAACAACTACCACACCGACTACAACTACATCGCCTACAACAACAACCACGCCTACTACAACTACTACGCCTACAACAACTACCGCACCTACAACAACAACTACGCCTACTACAATTACCACTCCTATAACAACTACCACACCTACAACAACTACTACACCTACAAGAACTTCCACGACTACAACAACTACAACACCTAAAACAACTACTACAGCTACTACACCTTTCACGCCTACAACAACTTCCACGCCCACAACAACTACCACACCTACAACAACGAACACACCTTCAATAGCTACATTGCTAACAACAACTACCACACCTACAACAACAACTACGTCTGCAACAACCACTACACCTACAACAACTACCAGACATACAACAACTACATCGCCTACAACAATGAACACGCCTACTAAAACAACCACTTATACAACAACTACCAGGCCTAGAAATACTACAACACCTACAACAACTACCACACCTACAACAACTACCACGCCTACTACAATTAAATCGCCTACAACAACTACCACGCCTGCTGCAACTACCACGCCTACAACAACTACCACACCTACAACAACAACTACGACTACTACAACCATCACGCCTACAACAACTTCCACGCCTACAAAAACTACTACACATACATCAACTACTACGTCTACAACAACTACAACAGCTACAGCAACTACCACACCTACAACAATTACTGCGCCTACTACAACCACCAAGCCTACAACAACCTCTACGCCTACAACAACTTCCACACATACAACATCCACTACACCTACAACAACTACCACACCGACTACAACTACATCACCTACAACAACAACCACGCCTACTACAACTACCACACCTCCAACAACTACCACACCTACAACAACTACTACACCTACAACAACTTCCACGGCTACTACAACTACCACACCATCAACAACTACCACAAACACAACAGCTACCCTACCAACAACAACTTACACACCAACATCAAGAACTACGCCAACACAAACGTCCACACACATAGTTACCACAAGACCGTCACCATCTCAAGTCCCTACTGCTGTCCCACTGGATAAAGGTAATTTATTTTTTCGATTAGATTTAAATTAGATACAAAATATATAACACTAATGTTTTAAAATTCGCATATTGTATTTCCAATAGATTACTGTTTTTAAAAGTAGGATATATTGTTTAATTTATATGAACCCCTGATTACATTTCGTCGATTATGTTTTAGATCAAAGTCGGATTGCCATAGATTTCACGTTAAAATTCAACCAACGCTTCAACTCTGAGCTGCTTAACCCGTTGTCATCAGAGTTTACCAGAGCCGCTTCAGACTATCAACAACAGGTTTGTTTACATTGTTTTAATGTATCAACATAAGTTTTGTTAACATTCTTTCACGGTAAGTAAATATGGCTAAAGTAAGGCACCTCAGTGGCTCTAGTGAAATTTAAGTTTTACACTACTAACCCAGCGTTTACAGAAATTTTAATGCGAACTCTACTTCATTCGTCTAACGGACCGTCAGGCTTGCAATTGTCTTACAAATTAAAAAAAACTAAAATGTTATAAATAAAGCGGGAGTGATCTCCCCTAAACTTTCTTGAATATTATTATATAACAGTACGGGGATGGCAGCCCGGGATATAGACATGAGTTTTATTCAGTTTTTACATACTTAAACTTTTAAAAATAGAATACGGTGTCGTAGAAAAAAGAATTGCGCAACAAGTGAACTGCAAAAAATATGTGTATAATAGTGCGAGATACTAGTACTTTAAAAATTCATATGCGTTTTTTTAGAAATATAAAACAGAATAAAGTACTACTTCTGGTCAACGAAAATTATTCAGCTTTTACAATTCTTAAACTTTTAAAAATAGAATACAGTGTCGTAGAAAAAAGAATTGCGCAACAAGTGAACTGCAATCAATATGTGTATAATAGTGCGAGATACTAGTACTTAAAAAATTCATATGCGTTTTTTAGAAATATAAAACAGAATAAAGTACTACTTTCGGTCAACGAAAATCATTCAAAATTTGATAGAAGGCAGAGAATTAGATATTTTAATTAAATTTGGAATTTCGTGTATCTATGTGAAACAGTACTCAAGTTATAGGCTCTTGAAAAACAAAAGTGGAATAAGTTCCACTTCCTGTTACTTGAAAAAGATGAAAAGTTAATACAGAACTACCAATTTTATATAATTCTCATATATAAAATTTCATCAACCTAACTGTAACCTCGCCTTTCGTGGGCGGTCTGTGGCCTCTTTTAATCACATGACTCCCGTTATCTTCAATTCAGAGATGAGTGGATTCTATAGTTTGCACAGGGGTGGAACGCCCCCCCCCCCCCCCCCCCCAGTCTACCAGGAAAAATTCCGGTTCATCGGAAATCCTGGTAGGCCCACAGGAATGGTGCTGTCCTCGGCTTATTAGTGCTTTGATTTATTTATTTTTAAATCATTTATCGCATGAGTTTCTATCAGGCTGATTCTGATGGGGAAAAATGAACTATGAAAATTAAAATCTGGGTTTGAGGCCCCTTTAAAAATTTCCCGGGCCTCTTGGACTATCCCGAGGTTTTATTTCACAGAATTTAGTAATGTGGCTGGTGGTACCAACTGTTTTACTTTATGAAGACTGGAAATAAAAAAATATTTAGTAATGTAGTTAGTGGTACCAACTGTTTTACTTTATGAAGACTGGAAATAAAAAAATATTTAGTAATGTAGTTAGTGGTACCAACTGTTTTACTTTATGAAGACTGGAAATAAAAAAATATTTAGTAATGTAGTTAGTGGTACCAACTGTTTTACTTTATGAAGACTGGAAATAAAAAAAATATTTAGTAATGTAGTTAGTGGTACCAACTGTTTTACTTTATGAAGACTGGAAATAAAAAAAATATTTAGTAATGTAGTTAGTGGTACCAACTGTTTTACTTTATGAAGACTGGAAATAAAAAACTATTTAGTAATGTAGTTAGTGGTACCAACTGTTTTACTTTATGAAGACTGGAAATAAAAAAATATTTAGTAATGTAGTTAGTGGTACCAACTGTTTTACTTTATGAAGACTGGAAATAAAAAAATATTTAGTAATGTGGCTGGTGGTACCAACTGTTTTACTTTATGAAGACTGGAAATAAAAAAATATTTAGTAATGTAGTTAGTGGTACCAACTGTTTTACTTTATGAAGACTGGAAATAAAAATGAACACGGTTATAATTCTTCCTCTATAAATATACGAAAAAGAAAAACAATAGAGTAATAGGTCCTATAAACAAACATTACATGAACACCTTCAACCATTTTGTTACTGAATCATTTGTTTTATTTTCGTTACAGCTGACGCCTATGTTCATGAACGTCACCAATTTTGATGGAGTCGTCATTAAAAAGTTCTGGTGAGGTTTGATGATGTTAATTTTGAAACGTGATATAATTGTTTGTTCTGTTATAAAAAAATATACTCGTACATCTACACATCTACACATACGATTGCATATATTTTACATGAAAAGGATGGTTGTGTTATACACATACGAGTTTAAAACATCGGCAAGTCTTGTTACGATAAGCCTATAAATAAATTCTGTTGGTTTCGTGACACGTTCAGTTTGTTTTAGGGAAGGGAGTGTTGGAGTTGATTTCGATGTCAAATTGAAGGCCTTCCACCAAGGTCAGCCAATCAACAGTTCCCTGGTTAAAAACGAGTTGTCGGACGTTAAAACTCAGCTGCTAAAACTGGACAACGTTGACCAGACATATGTCAACGTGACCTTCGACGATAAATTATCGGGCGGTAGGTAAACCTATATACTAATTCTGAACACTAAAAAAAAACCTTAAAACTAAACATAAACTCACTACAGTAAACATCAGTCAGAGTACTAAACAAAAACACAAAACATTGAAGCTAAACCTAAAACTGAAACTAGCTAGGCATTCACACTAAATACACCATTAAACTAAAACACACATTTTGCCTCTATACATTACACATTAGCTTAAACATATAAGAGATATGAATGACCCTTAACCTTATTAGATTACACTGAAACTGTTGTATTTCTGAGAAGGGGTGGGTTTATTTTTATATTTTTAGTTTCAATTTACACACACAAGTAAAGAATAATAATTCGATAATACACTCACGTACTCATTTTGTCTGAATTAACAAAGACAGCATGGCTATCATTTATTTTTAAAAAAAGTAAATTTATTGATAATTGGCAGATCAATTTAAATTGCTATAAAAGCAATGATGAAATAATGTGAAATGTAATCATAGTAGTCGGTGTTAGGGGGATAAAGTCTACTATACGGCACATGTATGCGATGGGTTGTCTGATATCTATTGGTTAGGGCGTGGTTTATGCAGCCTTAGTAATACCCATCTCTTGTTAGAACCAACACAGTTTTGAATGTTTCCTAGAATTTTTAAAGAACAATTTACTACACGATTCTCATCTGGCAGCCCTGCACGTACTGGAGGAGTTTTCCCGTGACGTGTGTAGGAGTGAGCACATCTGTAATGACACGCACGTGTGTAACTCAACCAGCCAGATGTGTGATCACAAATGTTTCAACTTCCGGTGTCCAGTCAACGCCCAGTGTTACGTCACTGACCAGCACATTCCACAGTGTAGGTGAGTACACAAGGTCGTTGACTGACCTTCACATTGTAGGTGCCGAAGATCATTCTATGCAGGTTGAGAGTTTGTTGAGGCGCCTTCACTTATTTTCATTGTTCAGCTAAAAATGTGATGAAAACAACAACTAGTTTGGACATGACTGGAGGTGTAGGTGGGGGTGTTAATTGAAGTTAAAAGGCCCCCACCATTTGACCAAAATTAAGACAATTAATTTTCGTCTCTTCTCGCAGATGTAAAACAGACGATAAATTTGTCTACGGCGGTGCCGACTGTTCTGAGGTGGCCGAGAAAATGGCGCTGACGTCCACACAGATCATCGCCATAGGCACGGGGGTGGGCGGGGCTGTTGTCGTCATTGCCGTCATCATCATCGCTGCGGTCATCCTGAGGACCAGGCGCCGGTAAGTGAACAGGACATTGTCCTTTTATCTTTCCAGGACGTTTCTTGTCCATAGGCTAGTAAAAGACATGAGATTTTTTTTTTCTGTTGATTGTGGTCACATACTGTTTAAACTGACTGGATTTACTACAAGTTAAAGCCTTCCATAGCTCACTGCTTTACGACATTTTAAATTACAGTAAAATACAAACCTCACCGTTTTGTAATGTAGACCTAATAGAGGATATATATATATATATATATATATATATATATATATATATATATATATACATCAATATTTCTTTTATACCAAATACTGAGATTGTGTGCTCACCACAATCACTAGACAACATGATACATGAAGTGAAGATTAGCTTTAAAAGGTTGATCCGTCTGGTAAAGTTGTACTTTGTTGAAGCTACATCCACTAGACGTCTGCTTGGAGTGGGCGATACCATGTTGTTTGTGTTTCAAGGCTCCCACTTAAGATAACGACACGGACCTAAGATAGTCTGTTCTAGATCTAGGCTGTTTCCCGCAATACGCTGACGTAAAAGTATCATGGCTAGGGTAGACCATAACTAGTTAATTCTTCATACATTGATTGTTTAAGCGGTTTATTTATAATGTTGTGAAAGATAAAAATTAAGAAAAAAAAAATACGTTCGTACATCTATAACCTTTTGTGTAATTTTATTGATGGTTTTTTTTTCTCAATGTTTATAAAAAGTCATTCCTGATAAATATTTCTTATTAAATTTGGGCTTGTAAACATTAAATTTCCTTTAGAGCCAACCTGGCAGTCCTTGGGTCAATTAAAGTAGAGTTCACCTGTTTCAAAGGCCTCGTCATAAAAAAAGATAGTGTGGTCAGTACAGCCGCATTTACTTTCCCTAAAGTGAGTCAGGTACCCATCAGAGCTGGGTGGACTCAGAGAAGTTTTTAAACATGATTTTAAACCTCGCTGGCTTCTTCTAGTTAGGTTACACCAATATTTTTAATATACAACATGTCGTTCTGTTCGTGAAAACCATCAACAAAATGAATTCTGACGTTAGTGTGGTAGGATAATATGTATAAAACAAAGATAAAAACATTTACAATATTTAGGTTTTAAAAGCTCTGAAATTAAGGCAATAAAACCCATTTGCTTTTTTAAATAAAAGCATTGGTCGTTCAAAATATGTAGGAGATGTCTTGGGAGACGAATGCTAGAGTTACATCAAAGTGGGTTACAAGATTTTCTACAAACTCACAAACAAGCACACAAAAACGCTTTGTAAACTAAATAAAGCGTTATCAAAAGACAAAATGTCATTTGAGAAACTCACAAGTCTTGTTACCTGACACGGAGTCATGTCCCACAGGCGTGTGAGAGCAATAGAACATTCTAGACTCACCAGCGTCTCTCAATATTAAAAACAATCTCGAACTTTCTCTTAACAGGAAGTACCGCTACCAGCAGACGACGGATGACGACAGCCTGGGTGATGACGCGTCCAATGTTGAGCAACAGTCCACCGTTTCGTCATCCCATGACGTCATGAAACCAGGCATTCACCGGCCTCGTTTCGAGATACCCAGGCCTCGCTTAGACAGACATCAGCATGACGTCATCGGGAAATTCCCGAACAGAACACTTCCGCTTGTGTTTGACAGCAGGGGCAGTTGGCACGGTAAGACGTCCAACCAGATGGACGTCTAGTCACGTCCCACCACATGGACGTATAATCACGTCACTCCGTTACTCAAGGTTTAATTACACTTCCTCAGATGTAAGGAATACTTGATGCACCAACGGATAAACAGTCGGACGCCCGCCTGCTACAAGCGGTTATAACACAAAAAAAGTGCTTATTATAAAATTGATATTTATTTTTTTATATTTGAAATGTATACATATATTTGACTTGTATTTATAAATCTTTCAATTGTGTAATTATGTTGTTTATTTTCTAAAATGCTAATTTGATGACTGCAGGCTAACGAATATACCAAAGACAGAACTCTAACTGCCCATTACCCACCTGATATCGTCATTAAACACCCAACTCTTCTACTTTCACATCACTGTCAGACCTGCCACATGTCCGAGTTCTAACTGTTGCTCAGAGTTTCTTTCAAGCATTTCTCGTGTTTAGCACTCCCACCCTACACCATCCTTCCCCCTCACCCCCCCCCCCCTCCTTACCTCCCTTACTCGATGCACGTCCAAGGCCCCTTCCCTGGACAAAATTGAAATAAAATATAATTTATATAGAAAAATCATTTAAACCAGTATCCACATCCCCCAGAAAGTTTCAAGTCCCCGCACCCCCCTCCGTCTCGGAGAAAAATGTCTTAAAGAAACACTGCTGTTGTTGGCTTTAGTTAACTGCCTCTTTCCTTTACCGTTCTTTAAAGTAAACTTGAAATGTATCTTGAATTAATTAAAATTAGTTGTATCGCACTCGGTTAAATTAGAACGCATGTGATAATTTTGTATAAAACAAAGTGTGTTAGATGTGGACTATTTGGGTTCGTTAAAAAGTGCGAGTGATAGACAAACGGTATATTTCTTCTATGTCCATATTACATATGAGTGTGTATTTTGATTCAATATATTAATTAGTCGATTTTACAAGTAAAACATTTCTTCAACAATCATTTTAGACATCATTTCTAAGTGTATTTAAACATATTTTGTGATATATTATATCAATAAACTGAAAATTAAACGTCATCGTTTTATGTTGACTGACAGGGTAGATAAGAATCAGGTAGATGATGACAGATGGTAGATGGAGGATACTGCTGTCTTAGAGTGACCTTGAGTACTAACTTGTGTCAAGTTCATGACCTTGAATATTCACCTCGACTGTTATAGTCGGGATACAATTCTATTGTACAAATGAAATAACAATATAATTATCCACTCAAGATCATCCGGTGACCATAATATTAAATTCCAAGGTTGTCATCTATCATAATGACTACCAAGGTCATTACACTGACCATCATAATATTGACCCCCAAGGTCATCCACTGTCCATCATATTGACCCACAAGCTCATAACACTGTCCTTCATATTGACCCCTTAGGGTATCCACCGACCATCAATTTGACCCCCAAGGTAATCCACTGACCATCATATTGACCAAAGTAATCCACTGAAATTACTGCCATTACCCCTGGCATGACAGAAGATAGTGATGGACGGTGACACACTAGCCGCTCCGTGCAAGGTCGGGGTGGGGGGGGGGAAATATTCTAACAGTCTAGTTTTTTTTCAACGGCGATGTCGACTGTTGACAGTAAAATATAGTGAGGACGTCTAGTGTCTTATCTGTCTAGCAAAGTGCACCACGATATGTAATGTATTTAAACGATAAAAGTTAGCATTGCCTGTTAATTTTTATGATATTATGTTATATGTGACGTACTATAAAAAGCTAACAAGTAAATGATTGAAGTGCTGGTAGTATTAAACTAGCATTAGATTGAATTAACGCTAGTGGAACTGTTAGAAGTATATTTTGCTTCTACTGACATAATCACCAGTTCGCCGATTGAAAAAAAAATGCCCTTCCTAAAAGGGCATATAAAATACTTCGCTCAAATGTTAATTATCTCCATGCTGGTAGATAGAAATGTCAAGTCATTGAAAACAATGTCATGAACTAGCAACTAAACTTTTACCTTATCTCAACCTCCGTGTAATTAACTCAAAGCTTGTAATCTCCAAGCTTTAGAACTACTACACAGACTTCAGCTGTGTTATCTTTATCGATCGCATGTTCCAGAAAACACTTAATGTGAACATTAGTTTATTTTCTTAATTTAAGTTAACAAAACTAAAATTTAGTTTATTTCTTTTTAAACTCGATACTCTATGTCATTTATGCTGTTTCAGTCGTTTTCTGCCAAGTTTAAGACAGCAGTTGTGTGATGTAAGGGCTATCCCAGAACATTGTGTTTATAACATTATAGTTACCCTAATGGTAGATGGACTAATGTATTACGCTAAACTGAGGAGAGGATCTCAGCTAATCGTCTGAGATTTGATTAACATTTCTTAATGAGCTTAGATCTATTGCTTTAGTATAACGAGCTCTGTAAACTTAGATTTTCGATGCCTAGACGTCTTTGGATTACTGGAAACAAATGGTTCTAGTACCTTAGGAATACAGACGTAAGTTCTGTTTCTTTTGTCTGATGTATTTTAACGTTTAACTAGTGTTCTTGTCATTTTTTTAAATGAAGACTAGACGATATTTTGGTTTAAATGAGACAGAAATTGCGGTTTTGATTCGCGTACATAAGCCTATATAAAACATGAGTTGTAAAGGTAACCAAACAAAACACGCATGTAACAAGTGTTAGATTATCAAACAGCTGAAATATCATTGTGTTTAACTAATGAAACTCGGGGACCTGCATAATACAACGAGCAGAGGTTATATCAAACATGTTGATAGCGAGTTGACACGCCTTCAGTACGTGTGATATGACAAGATGACTAGAAACAGAAACACAGTGAAACGTATATTGAACAGTTAACTTTTACCTAAACAACGAGCAGGATTGTCACACGACTTGTATGCAAAAAATTCACAAATGGTTCAATCAGAAAGAAAAAAAAACATTTTTTTTAATATCATTTCGCCGTAATTTACGTTGATTTAATTTATTCTGTGTTCGCTACTATATTCTCGTTATTCCCGTGTGGTGTTCAGATTAAATTAACCTATGATTAGGTGAAACTGATATAAATGGAGAATGTAAAATTAAATAAAGAAAAATGTAAACGTCTGGGGCTACAGTTTATACAAGCTTCGACTTTTATTAGTGTAAACACAACTTCTGTAAAAATACTCAAAATATGAAGACCATATGTCATTTACTCGTGAAATCTTTTGTAAGCGACAAAAGCTTTTCATATCAGTCAAAAGAAACAATAGTTTTTTAAAATTATTTTTAGTACATGATGAAGCTTGTTTTAGTTTTAACTGTTTAGATTGTGAGATGTACAAATATTAAGTTGATGTTTGATGTTGTTTTTTTTAAGTAGCACAGTTTAGAGCAGTTTCTTTGATGAATATCTTCGTCGGGGGGGGGGGAGGGGGTGACATGGGATTTTAAATTTCTTTATCTGAAATGGCTAAAATTCTGTGCTAATATTTATTTAATTTGAAACCATTTTCAACTATAAACGTAAATCAGTAAACAAGAAACAAATGTAAAGTGCTTGTTATTCAATGTTTCAATCTGACGTCCTGTTGCACTTTACCCTGTTCAAATAAATGTTTTATAAATATACCTTTTTCCTATCTTTATTCAATTGTTATTGATGAAATTGTGTGTAGAACAAATGTGCATTTAAATTTTCTCTTGACGGTACCATACTTTGATGGAACAGATAAAGAAGATTTTAAAATGTTTAACATTAGTGAAAGAGTGATATGATCTAATTGGGTTGATCTTTTTACGTTCTTGTACTTGTCGTCATTGTTCACTTCCCGTGTTGTAAGTTATCTGCCCTCAGGTTGGTATTGTCCAGCCCTCCAGTTTGTTCCACTTGCTGGTGCCAGAATATAAAAACGTGTGTAATCATGAACTCAGCCTAAATTTAATATTGTTGTTACTTTCACCCTGTATAACCAGCTTAAAACCAACATTTGATTTATATCTGCGTTCCTGTTTCTCGCTTATTATGTGTGTGTGTGTGTGTGTGTCCTGTTACTTAGAACAGACCGTGATTCTCTTTTAATTTCAGCGTAGCTTGTTGATTAAAGTTGTTTATTTTTGTATAACTATCACGAGCCCTTGTTTACATATTTAGATCTAGTATTGGTATTACCAGTTGTTTGTCTATTATGTCATGTGACATATATTGGTTGTACTTTAACGCTGTGTTCTCATCCTTAACGTGTAATTTTTACCGTATCTTCTGCTAAAAATTCAAGGTTGTCAGACTACTCAACTACAATCAGCAAGTTTATAACAAGCACTAAGCAACCTTAATAAGCATCAGATGTGTAGACTAATAAAATCTAAAAATGAAACGAATTTTATATTTTTGTTGAAATGACTTCGACATTTGGATACTAAACAAAAGCTGGATTTTGAAAATTTTACAATAAAAGTAAGTGAAACAGTAAACTGTTTGTTTTTTCCACTTAATAATGTTTACAGTTTCCAAACAGGATATCTTTTTAATTAATTGTTAATTTACTGCAAAAAAAATTTTTAAACATACCTTATTGCGGTGTCATTGTTGATGTGATAATAAATAAAGTATGAAAATAAAATCAATCCAATGTTTAAAAAAAAAATATTTTAAAAAATGAAATATAAGATTTCTAAACAAACCAAAGTTGTATTACTAGAGCAATAAATATTATATTTTGATGGTAGAAGCAAGCATGTTGAGGAGAAAAGTCTCATCAAAACATTTATTTTCAGAATTGGAATCAATGAAAGTCTCCAGAGGGTTTTCAAAATGAATTTGCTAAATTACATGTTGTTAACACAATTATTAAACTTTTATGGAAATACGATGACAGCAACTATCGTTACATTAGCTTCAATAACTAGACTAAATGCAAAAACAAAGCAAACAAACTATGTTATAAATAGTAAGACAGAGTTATATTCTAAATCAGAAAACAACATTGAATCTGTTAATAAACCAATACCTACAAGCAAGATAGATCTAACAGCCGCAACAATTACAACAACTGCAAAAACCACGATACCTACAACAACTACCACAACTACTACCATGGTTGCACCACCAAATATTACATCGACGTCTGTGACAACAAATAAGACAGCAATTAAAACAGAGAGCACCCATACAATCTTGGCCGGATATACAACGACTAAAGAAACAACCATGGCCACAGATTCAAACTTACCCGAACCTACAACCACACACAGACCTAAAGCCACACACGAACCTACAACCACCGACAAATTAACAACCACAGACGAGCCTACAACCACAGAAGAACCTACAACCATACACAAACCTAAAACCACACACGAACCTACAACCACTGACAAATTAACAACCACAATCGAACCTACATCCACAGACGAACCTACTACCACAGACGAACAAACTAATATAGAGAAATCAACAACCACACACGAACCTACAATATCAGACGAGCCTACATCAACTGACGAATTAACAACCACATACGAGCCTATAACCACAGACAAACCTACACCCAGATACGAGCCTGCAACCAAAGACGAACCCACAACCACAGAGAAATCAACAACCACAGATAAACCTACAACCACAGACGAACCCACAACCACAGAGAAATCAACAACCACAGATAAACCTACAACCACAGACGAACCCACAACCACAGAGAAATCAACAGCCACAGATAAACCTACAACCACAGACGAACCCACAACCACAGAGAAATCAACAACCACAGATAAACCTACAACCACTGGCAAACCCACAACCAGTGTCTTATATACAACAGCAGATGAACCTACATCCACAGACGAAACTTTAACCATAGGCGAGCTTACAACCGCAGACGGTCTTACAACCTTAGACGAACCAACAACCACGCACGAACCGACAACCACGGTCATAATTACAACAACATACGAACCTACAACCACAGACCAACCCACAACCACAGAAGAACCTACAACAACAGACGAGCCTACAACCACTGACGAATTAACAACCACCGACGAACCTACAACCTCAAACGAGCATACAACTACTTCAGACGGACCTGCAATCACAGACGAACCCACAACCACACACAAACCGACAACCACGGTCATAATTACAACAACATACGAACCTACAACAACACACCAACCTACAACCACACACCAACCTACAACCACACACCAACCTACAATCAAAGACGAACCTACAACCACAGACCAACCCACAACCTCAGACGAACCTACAACCTCAGACGAACCTACAACCACAGACCAACCCACAACCACAGACGAACCTACAACCACAGACAAACCTACAACCACAGATGTTATAACAACCACGGTCTTAGATGCAACAACCACCAAAACTACAACCGCGATCACAGAAACAAACACAGCCGACGATATAACCACGGCCATACAAACAATAACTTTCACAACAACAACTACTACACCTACAGCTACCACACCTACAACTATAACTACCACACCTACAACTACCACAACTTCAACTACCACACCTACAACTACCACACATACAACTACCACACTTACAACTACCACACCCACAAATACCACACTTAGAACTACCACACCTACAACTACCACACCCACAAATACCACACTTAGAACTACCACACCTACAACTACCACACCTATAACTACCACACCAACAACTACCACACCTACAATAACACAATATTTCGCATCACCCACATCTACACTATCTAGTACAATCACACAAACGACCATAATTTATCAAACGTCCACTGATGCTGTAATTTACAAGTCCACAATACTGGCAGACACTAAAACTCCAACAAATATCTTTAATACATCTCCTCCCCCTTCAGTTAAGTTAACTATACCATCTCAAGCACCTCCAACTATACCAATAGACAAAGGTAATTTTTTTTTCTTGCATTTAAGTTGTTGTTTTTTTTTAAATTCATTTCTCATGTTTTTAAAAATTTAACTAGGCTTGGCTTTTACTCTCAATACGCCCCAGTTTAGACTTTGAGGTAGTGCATACTAAAAGTTGTCCAGAAATCCTTCGTTATGTTTGTCTATTCCAGTGCAAAGTCGGATCTCCATAGAATTAACGATCAAATTCAATCAAAACTTTGATGAGGGTCTGCTCATCCCGACGTCATCCAAGTTTAACCAAACTGCTTTAAACTATAGCAAAACGGTGTGTTTTAATAGTTTTACATTAGCTTATATAAAGACTGGGAATTATATAAAGAAATTTTAATTATGGAGCCGTATGCGAGCAAACTAAAATAATAAGTTGTTAAAAATATTGATATTAAAAATAAAATTATCTTTACCTAAGAAAATATAATATTAATAATTTTTCCGGTCAAACGGCATTCGAGCTTATGGCAATTTGGGGATTTGTTCCATTCTTCAAGTCCATTTGGGCGTTAGTCGTATTCAGGCAATTGTCCATTCGGAAAAACAGCTTACGGACAAAAGGCATTCGGTCAAGTGCCTGTTGAGAATTTATCGTAGAGAAATCCCGAATTGAGTAGATTCTATAGTATGGCACTATCGTACGCCCTACCACTAGACCACACCAGCCCTAAAAAAGAATAGCTCGTCGTTTTATTTCACTGAATGTAACAGTGTAGCTGTTGGTATCAACTTTCTTTCTATGTATCAATAAGAAATAAAAATAAACAATAAATTTTGTTAGATAAATAATAACATTTTTTTTAACCATTGTGTTACTGATCCATTTGTTCATGTTCTGTTGTTACAGCTGACGCCTCTGTTTATGAACGTCACCAATTTTGATGAAGTCGTCATTAAAAAGTTCTGGTGAGGTTTAATATGATCAGTGTTTTTTTCCAGATTTTTTTCTCCTGGGGGACGGGGACACAACATTTTCCGGGGGGGGGGGGGGGGGGGGAAGGACACTGGTAAAAGAAGGCCAATATGTTTTCTATATAAAACCAATTTCGTTCGGGGTAGGCGGGGTAGACTTTTTTCGGAGATGCCTGGAAGAAACTCTGAAGATGATGACGTTAATTTAGTAACATTTTAGTATGATGGTTTGTTCTGCTGTAAACAATATACGGACACGTACATCTTTATACCTACATTTAGGAATGCAAATATTACGTACGTCGTTCGATTAAAGTATCCATCTTTCAATCATTGAAAAAATTGGTTTCGTGACATGTTCAGTTTGTTTTAGGGAAGGGAGTGTTGGAGTCGATTTCGATGTAAAGTTGAAGGCCTTCCACCAAGGTCAGCCAATCAACAGTTCCCTGGTTAAAAACGAGTTGTCGGACGTTAAAACTCAGCTGCTGAAACTGGACAAAGTTGACCAGACATATGTCAACGTGACCTTCGACGATAAATTATCTGAAGGTAGGTTAGCCTAAACACTTATACAGAATACTTAACTTTAACACTCAGCCTTGAAGCTAAACATAATTCTAAATTCTCGCTAAGCTTCAAAAATGGACTAAGCATTAAGCTTAAATATAAACTATAAATCAAAACACAAATTTAAATGTTATAGATTGTCTTTTACATTATAGATGACACTAGTATTGTCACGTGACATTGTTTTGATGGGGACGGTACTGTCGCATGTTAGGGTTCAAAAAAAATGTTAGAAGCATGAGCACTAATAACGAATAACGTAATAATTTGTGGAATATCAACCACATTTGACCAAGAATAGCTATGGAAATGTTATGTAAATAAAAGGGGGTAGCGAAGAGATGGTGGGGAGATGAGTGGACTATGGTGTATGCTGGATGTATTTGGTTTATCAGGCATAGCGGGGTTACATGCGATCATGTTGTGGTATTTCATAAAGACCAATTTACTTCACGATTCTCATCTGGCAGCCTTGCACGTACTGGAGGAGTTTTCCCGTGACGTGTGTAAGAGTGAGCACATCTGTAATGACACGCACGTGTGTAACTCAACCAGCCAGGTGTGTGATAACAAATGTTTCAACTTCCGGTGTCCAGTCAACGCCCAGTGTTACGTCACTGACCAGCACACCGCACAATGTAGGTGAGTACACAAGGTCACCCACTGACCTCAATGTACTTAAATATCCAAGTTGATCCAATGACCGCCCCAGTGTAGGTGAGTACACAAAGTCATAGACTGACCTAAATGTACTTAAGTATCAAAGTTGATCCAATGACCACCCCAGTGTAGATTAGTAGGCCTACTCAAGGTCAACCACTGACCAGCTCAGTGTAGGGAGTATGCAAGGTCATTAAATGACCGTCAACGGCTGACAGTTGTACCTCATGTGAGTACTCAAGGCTATCCGCTGAGCACATTGTTGGTGAGTACCCACTCAATACAAAAATTGTGTGCGTTCATCCAAACCTGATTTTTATCATTTATTATACTTTTTGTACCTTGCGGCATGGCAGAAATGTATGTGTACGTGTTAATAAAAAGTTTCTAAAACAGTTTACAAATGGCCTGGGTTAACGACAATGAAATGTTTGTGTTTCTTGTCGCAGATGTAAAACAGACGATAAATTTGTCTACGGCGGTGCCGACTGTTCTGAGGTGGCCGAGAAAATGGCGCTGACGTCCACACAGATCATCGCTATAGGCACGGGGGTGGGCGGGGCTGTTGTCGTCATGGCCGTCATCATCATCGCTGTGGTCATCCTGAGGACCAGGCGCCGGTCAGTGAACAGGACATTGTCCTTTTATCTTTCCAGGCCGTTTCATGTCAAAGTTTTTATCTTTCAACTTTTTGTGTATTTTATACACGTAACACTTTTCTGTAACTGGTTGTTACACGTCAAACACCTGTTACGTAGTCACGTTGTATAAGAAAAAAAAACAATTAGTGTTTCCTCCAGGCATTTCTTCGAAATTTTAGTCCGCCAACACTTCACCCCCCCCCCCCCCCCCCGAATTTTTTTTAAATACCCCCACCCCGCCTGGAGAAAAAAGTCTGGAAGAGACAACACTGAACACACCCCACAACCGTTACTCTTAAATTGTAAAAGCTCTATCTAATTGTGTTAAGTCTGTCCAAGCCTTTTGGTAGTCCCTATTGATATGATGGTGGTCCGTTTAGATTTATAACAAGTATTAAAAGTTTATAGGGGGGTAACTAATCGCCCATGCCGCACCAAGCTAGTGTAAATATCAAGAGCCCCCTCCCCCAGAGAAAAAAGTCAGTAAGAAAAACCGTAAATAAACATCTGACCTTCCTCCCACCAGGCGGGTACCAGATGAGCAGACGACAGATGCCGACAGCCTGACTGATGACGCGTCCATTGAAGAGCAGCGTCAGCAGAAGTCTGTTGCCGCGTCATCCCATGACGTCATGAAACCAGACTTTCACCGTTTCCGGCTTGAGATACCCAGACCTCGGGTAGACAGACTACACCATGACGCCATCTTGGAAATCCAGAACAGAAATTCCACGTTGGTGTTTGACAGCGTTAGCAGACGATACACCACGTCAGTTCACTGACCACGTCAGTTCACTAGAGTGACCACGTCAGTTTACTAGAGTGACCACGTCAGTTCATTAGTGACCACGTCAATTCACTAGTGACCACGTCAATTCACTATAGTGACCACGTCAGTTCACTAGAGTGACCACGTCAGTTCACTAGAGTGACCACGTCAGTTCTCTAGAGTGACCACGTCAGTTCACTAGAGTGACCACGTCAGTTCACTAGAGTGACCACGTCAATTCACTAGTGACCACGTCAATTCACTATAGTGGCCACGCCAGTTCACTAGAGTGACCACATCAAAACGGATGTTCAGGCATTTTCCGATTTGTTAAGTGATATTTTTACTTTAGAAGGCAATGAGCTGGTTTGATATTCCTGTCAGAGGTTTACAATTTGAAGTCTGTTGTCAGAGGTTTACAATCCTGTCACAATTTACTAAGAAAAAAAACATTTCCAGATTACAATTTAACTTTTTGATCACTTCCAAAAAAAAGGGAAAGAATCCCCAATACTCACATAATAAATTTTAAAGGGTATTCTGCTTAGTGGTGTACATCTTCAATGCCTAGCATTTTTTAAAAATTGATACATGTATAAACAGCAGATGTATAAGATAAAGGAAACCATCAGGACTGGCAGCATATAAAATTAATACAATAATATAATTTTAAAAAACTGCATTCTATCAGAATGTTGCACTGTATCGGTGGGGCGGGCGGGGTCGTAGCGGCATGGGTTGAAAGGGGGTGGGGATTGGTTGGGTGCGGCCCATACATCAGGAGCAACGTTGCGTCACCTGCCTTCTGTGGTGTTCTACATACAGCGTGTGAATTTGTGTGATCCTATGTTTTGGCAGAAACTTAAATAGACGATATTGAAAGCGAATCAGAATGTAATTATGTGTTAAACATTTTAATTAAAGTAAAATGCAAGTAGTAGTACTTACGGTTTGCTAGTTTTTAATTTTACTATTACAATATTTTTTTTACTTTTTAATTAATCAGCAACTATTTAAAGAAACATAAAATTAAATTTATAATTATATTCTGTTTAAATATTGATGCCATCAGAAATAAAACAATAAGATAAGCATATAATTTGTTTTTATTTACTTCTTGATCTATTTAAATGATAATCTACCCTGGTGACGGCCAACAGTTACGTCCCTTGCAGCCTTGTTTGTCTTATAATATTGTTTTCATTGGCCTAATCTAACAAGAGATAACAACGAAGGTCAGGAGAATTTAATCAGACAAAGTTTATCTTTTATCGTATGAAGTTGACTGAATGACTCAGTTCACTGATTACCTCTCCTACCTCAGTCAAATGTATCTCACTGACAAGTGTATCGATGAGATATCTCAGATGTTTTTGTGTAGGTCTGGTTTAGACTACTCTGTTGTTTTGGTTTAGTTTTTATAATTGTAAACCCTTCATGACCTCTGACCTTACAAGCATGTCAAGGCCATGCCGTGTATTGATAGTAGTGTGGTTCATTCTGTATTTCACATCACTAGGAAGTAAGTTTGTAATTAGACTAATATAGTAAGTGTGTAATTAGACTAATATAGTAAGTGTGTCATTAGACTAATATAGTAAGTGTGTAATTAGACTAATATAGTAAGTGTGTAATTAGACTAATATAGTAAGTGTGTAATTAGACTTATATAGTACTGGTGTAATTATACTAATATAGTAAGTGTGTAATTAGACTAATATAGTAAGTGTGTAATTATACTAATATAGTAAGTGTGTAATTATACTAATATAGTAAGTGTGTAATTTGACTAATACATTTTTGAGACTTAATTATTTTGCATCATTTGAAAGTAGGTACGTATTTATGCTAACATATTTTTAAAGTTGCCTTTTATTCCACATCACTGTGAATTAGATATACAATTAGGCTATTATGTTTTACGTGTGATTAATTACTAAGTTAACAAACGTCACTTTAAAAATTAATTTACTTTTAAATTTCAATTTTAATCTTAAAAACTGTAGGAATTTAAACTATCGCCATATTTTCATTTGTTTTAAAATAAAAGGGAGTTAAATAATGTTTTTCCTCCCTATAAACTTACAGTAGTGAAGAAGTCTGCTTTATTATTAAAATATTAAAATGAATACTATAATATTTCAGAAATGTATTGCTAAATGAAAACGGTGACTTTTTTTAACCTTTTAACTAAATCACCTCTCTTTCGTCGATCAAACTCTTTAGCTTTTTGTCTTTAAAAAATAAAAATGTAGTAAAAACTAAAATCGACTGAGCTGACTTGATTTGCTATAGAGTGTGAACCAACGACACCGTTCTTCCACTCACCCACCGTTCTGTCTGCGTGCCAGTTCAAAACCTTATGTAACTACACCAGTTACCATGACAACACCAGTAACCTGAGCTGGGTGCTGGCTGATGGAGGGATTAAACCGATCATTAATTACTGGGATAATTACGCTGATGAACGTGAGTTGTTTTAATTTATTCTATGTGCATGTGTTTGTTTCTCTCTAAATATAAGTGTGTCTAGATCTAGAACATATAAGAGATATTCCTATTACATAAAGTTCATCACAATAGATTTACAAACAACAGCTACATAAACTTCATCACTATAGATTTACAAACAACAGCTACATAAACTTCATCACTATATATTTACAAACAAAAGTTACATAAACTTCATCACTATAGATTTACAAACAACAGTTACATAAACTTCATCACTATAGATTTACAAACAACAGTTACATAAACTTCATCACCAGTGTACACACTATATATTTCATCACCAGAAACATACTACGCTTACCTTGATGTTAAAAATGGCGGCACCAGAGGAAGTAGAGCCATGCTGAGCGCTGAGATAGGAAGTGACGTCACTGCCATCAACGTCCTGTTCCATTACGTCACGACGGGTGTGGAGGCTCAAAACCTGCGCGTCTACCTCCAGTCTACACCAGGCTACGGCCCAGGCTACTCGCCCGATGACGTCATGTTCCGGTTGGAAAACTTTACAACTAACATGGACTGGATGGCAGCCAACTTCACATGCTGCCTGCTGGGCAGGAATTACGTAAGGACTTGTTAACTTTCTATACCAGCAACTTTTTCTCAGGTGTGTATTTCAGATGTTCAGAAACATGATCAAAGGTTGAATAAAGCTTGGCAACTATAGTCGGCTTGAGTCAGTATAAAGTTTATAAAATGTTGACTCGAGTATCTTACTCTGAGCTATAACGCAATTAAATGATATTTGGACTCGCAACACACGACATTTAAAACTGAACATAACACTGCCATAGAACCCTAATATCAGGTAATATTTCTAGCAACTACAACACCTCTTTAAGCTTTAGCGCAGTATGATATGATATACTATATAAATGCTGGAGGTGTTCTAAATACATTATAATAATTTATAATTATAGATGAAACAACTTTATTCATCTTCTTTAAAAACCATTTCTATCCATTTATCTTGTCTAAATATATTTTCGAAAATAAACATCAATGAAACCAAACAAGCGTTATATAAATATTTTCTTAATACCATCCACACTTGACCTATCCGTAATAAGACAATGCAACAAAAGACATGGCCATACCTACCTAATTTAATTTTAAATGTGAACATTAGTGTACAACTCTTAACTCTTCAAATTAGTCACCAATCATACATTTACCAAGAAAATTTAAATAAATACATCCATAATTAAAATTACTAACAAATTTCTTGAAAGTAAAAGACAACTCTTGAGCAGGATTAGAAGTTATCGAAATAGTTCCTTCAATGATTCACTTACTATAATGTCTAAGTTTCTTTAGAAAGTTCCACTCTAATGATTTACTCACTATAATGTCCAGATTTCCTTTGAAAGTTCCACTCTAATGTTTAACTCACCATAATGTCCAGATTTCCTTTGAAAGTTCCAAACCTTCTGATGACGCCTACACGTCTGTTGCTGTTGATGGGATCGTGATAACTGTTGCTGATGTTGCCTGTCCGGCTAGAAGAAATGGTACCACAGACTCAAACACCACAGAACCAGAAAACACGACCACAACAACAACTGCTAATACAACAACTACTAGCACCCTCTCCACAACAGCTACCAACACGCCATCAACCATAACCACCACAACAACAACTACCACAATACCAATTACAGATTCAACAATCGCAACCACCACATCTAAAGCAACAAGTACACCTCGCTCGACTACTACAACAGGCACATCATCTCCATCTGACCATATACCTGTAGATAAAGGTGAGATTCTATGCTTGCTTGACCATTATTTTCTAGTCTATGAACTGACATGTTAAATATTTATTGTTTGTAATGTTAATTATAGGACCTACGTTACTTTTTCTTACAAATATTGAGGTTTTTATGCTTAAAAATAAAGTAAAATGTTTACTATCTTAAGTTCATTTCTTAGTAATTCGTTGAGGTAATGAAGACCTGCATATATGAGTTACTAATTAAGCTCCGTTTTTGTGTAGAACATAGCCTGATCTCCATCCCGTTTAGTATTAAATTTAACCAAGAGTTTAGTCCATCGCTGCTCTCCCCTGTGTCAATGATCTACAACAGTACAGTCGAAAACTATACAGCTATGGTATGTTAAGAGTTTACTTATTCTTATTATTTTCAACTAGCTACATATCTAAGGAGAAATATGAACATAAATATGTGATAGCACTCAAGATATCTTGTCTTTAACAGAATTGGATTAACAAGGGATGTAAAAACGTAATGATTTGACTTTTATAACACTTACCCACCCCTCCCCCCCCCCCACACTCCACACACACACACACACACACACCCGAACAGGTAGCCAGTCTATTGATATAGACAGGAAAAATTTTACAAGACGTCCTCACATCCTGTGTATGGGTTATGGCAGGCTGGCACTGATTTTAAGGGACGACAGGAGTTCTAGCTATAAGCTCACGATATGTAAAATGACGTGACAATGTCACCCAGCTGTCAAATTTGGATAGTCTTTGTACAAAAGTTGCTGTTTTATATTCTTAGCTGACTCCTGTGTACAGAGATGTTTCAAACTTTGACAAAGTTGTCATCACAAAATTCTGGTAAGTCCCGGTAGATCATAATAAATACACCGTGTACATAAAGTAGTACACACCGTGTTCATAAAGTAGTACACAATTAGTACATAAAGTAGCACACACCGTGTACATAAAGTAGTATACACCTTGTACATAAAGTAGTACACACCTGGACTAGTACACATTAGATTCATTACCGCAAGATTCAGACACAACAGCTGTTTATATTTAATTCGTAATCACCACAAATCTACATATGCAACAGTCGTAATTTTAAATCAAACCAGTCTAAAAATACAGTAATCGAAACACCCCCCCCCCCAGGCCGGGTAGTATCGGCATCGACTATGATATAAACCTGAAAGCATTCAGTCAACAAGAGCCAGTGAACGTCATCAAGGTCAGCAAACAACTAGCAGACACCAAACAACTTCTGCTTGATCTAGACAACGTGGACAAAACCTACGTCAACAGCACCTTCAAACAAAATCTGGACGATTGTAGGTTCAATCTGTGTCCCTGTTTGTTTGTTTGTTACGCGTGTTAATGGTTCAATGTTCAAATGTGTTGCTTATCTTTATTGTATGTATTTGTTGATTTGGTCGTGTTACATTTACCATCTTACACTTACATAATCTTACACTTGCATCATCTTACACTCAAATAGTCTTACACTTTCATCGACTTAAACTTACATAGTTTTACACTTGCATCATCTTACACTTACACTAAAAACTGCTTACATATCCTGACACTAGTGTATCTGTGTATTACACGAGTGAAACAATTCCCAACAAACGAGTTCTATCCCTAGCCGAGGATCTGTTGAATGAGTTTTCCCACAACGTGTGTAAGAGTGAGCACATCTGCCCAGACAACACGCACGTGTGTAACTCAACCAGCCAGGTGTGTGATCACAAATGTTTCAACTTCCGGTGTCCAGTCAACGCCCAGTGTTACGTCACTGACCAGCACATCCCAATGTGTAGGTGAGTACTCAAGGTCACCTACTGACCAGCACATCCCAATGTGTAGGTGAGTACACAAACATTTTACCAGATTTTGTTAATGGCCAGATTAAACTTGAATGACGTGACCTAGACAAATTACTGCCTTGACAGTGCCTCAGTAGCTCTGTCATCACAGCGGAGAGGGGAGGGTTAGTCACATCCAACCTCCCTCCAACCTCGTGTTTCAGGTGTAAAACAGACGATAAATTTGTCTACGGCGGTGCCGACTGTTCTGAGGTGGCCGAGAAAATGGCGCTGACGTCCACACAGATCATCGCTATAGGCACGGGGGTGGGCGGGGCTGTTGTCGTCATGGCCGTCGTCATCATCGCTGCGGTCATCATACGGGCTAGACGTGGGTGAGTGAAAGCAGCTTGTTAACCTTTAACCTTTGAACTTAATACTACCATAAAAACTAGGATCAATTGAGAGTGAGAAACAAGTCAAACGAACATAAACAATAGATTATATACATACGTATAAATATATATATATATATATATATATATATATATATATATATATATATATATATATATATATTGTGCACAGCATTAATTTTTGTTGATGATAGTTCAAATTCAAATTGGATAGAGCGAGAGTTGGAACAAACAATATTTTAGTTTTCATTAAATTTGATATTAAAAATAAATTAAGCACAATGAATCAAGATCATCTCTCACATTTGTACAGCCTATTTGGAAGTTCAATATTTGAAACTCCTTTCTAAGTAATCCAATTAACAAATATTGCTCTAAGTTTTAAAATCTGCATACGCATCTTTAGAAAATTATCTGACTCCGCTCTACAGGACACCGCGACATGTGAAGATGGTGGAGGCGGGTGGTCAAGAGGATGGTGCGTCAGCTGAGGTGCAGCGTCATCATCTGTCAGCAGCTGCGTCATCACGTGACGTCACGAGACCAGCGACTCCCACACCTCACGTGACTAAGTTATAGCAGGATGACGTCAATAGTGAATCCGCCGAACAAAATGTCTCTATTAAGATCAGGCTGCTAATTCTTCAAGTCAGTGACGTCATAAGGCTAGAGTGATGACATAACAATAGTTGTTGAACCTCCCAACGGTTGGGTGAAGTTTTGAAAGTTGGAGGATGTTAAGCGACTTTCACCAGCGTATTCCGTAAACCTGAATCAGCTAATTACGACTGTATAGTATAGCACTATACTGATTACTTGTTCTCAGAGGCGTAGCGACCCTTCCCGGCGCCCGGGGACAAACTTTTCGATTTGCACCGCCCCCCCCCCCCCCTCTCACGATTTCGATTTGCGCCCCCCCCCCCCCTCAAACTTTCGATTTGCACCCCCCTCAACCTTTCAATTTATTTTTCCAACCCATTTTGGCGCCCCCTAAGGTCGGCGCCCGGGGACATATTTCCCCCCCCCCCCCGCCCCCCCCCCCTTCCGCTTGTTCTAATTACTACCTTTTTAATGTACATACCTGGGTTTTATTGTAAATGGACTGTTTTACAAATTGATTGAAAATTGCAATTCTCGATCGAACTCCGTAACGTTGCTGTGTTGCTGTTCTACGGTTGAATCTGGCTCTAGGCTAACAGGCTGTAGAACTAGGTTTGTGTTTCAGTTATAGTGTGGGGGGATGTGTTGTTTATGAAAGGTGTGTATGTGGGACAGATCACTGCGTGTGTGTGTTTAAGGTAGTACTGGGGGAGGCCGGGTGTGTTGACGTGTATGTTGTTGTACGGAGTGAACGAGGGTAACAAGGGAAGCGACTGGTCGAGTGACAGCGGGTGTATTGTGAGCGGGAGGAAGGAGGTGTGTAGGGATGGATGTGGATGGCAGTTGGAGGTCGCGGATAGTTGTTAATAAGACAACCTAAGTTGATGATACAAAACATACTTGTTGAACCCTACCTTCAACGCTGTATGCTGGTGTGTTCTATACATGTGTTGTAGGAGGTTCATTACACGCCCTCACAAACAGATCTAGATCTAGTACTGATTTGGATTGTTAAATCATGTCACTGTAATTAATTTGTGATGCGAAATTACTTCCATTAAGATTTACGAGTAGGAAATATTTTAAACTGTGCTTAAAAGTGTCAGTTTTGTGAAACTACTGTTTGCCAATTGGAGCAGGTGTTATATTATTTATTTTTTTAAAGTAAGATCATTCAGGCTATCTAGATGATTATATTTCGATTTTTATTTTGTGAAAAGCTGTTTATTTGTGTATGTTTAAATAAAATTTCTTTCTACTTTTTCGTTTATTTTTTGCAATTTTTAATATTTGATACGGAATTTGTAAAGGTTACTGCAGTTTTTTTCATGAGACGTGCATTTATTTTTTAAAGACTTAATAATGTCAACAATACAAATTATTCTATGAATATTAGGCTCATAATTGTAACGATTACAGGCATGTACAAAATATAATTGAAGGTCAGAACTGCTTTAATCAACCTTTTATAACAAGCTGTGTCTCGTAGTGTTATCTTTAAAAGAGGGGGGGGGGGGGGGATACAGGATCAGACTTGTCTAAGTCTGGCCACTGGTTGCACAACTTACCTTAGTCTAACATATCTCACTGACAAGATTTACCTCAGCTATCTCAGCCGTGTTTACTTGTATCTTGTGTTCGATCGTCCCCACATTCTACAGCTGATGGTTTTATTTCTTGCTCACCATGAACTTTGACCTGACGCACACATCACACATGTGGCTGATTGTCCTAACATCGTTAACAGGTATGTTTTTTGTTGTTTCTCTGTTAGGGTCAACAGACAATATATGATTTAGAACTGTCTGATATGTTAGGATGAATTTTTAAACTGTGTTGTATAAATAATGATAGTATCCACTAATACATGCGTGAGCTAACTCTATATATGACAACTTTAACCGTGGTAAAGCATGGGTATTAAACAAGTACCTAAAATCTGTTTTAGGTTGAAACTCAATAATGGATACTATTAGTTTTCAATAAGCCTAGCTGAAGTACCAGAACACATACATAGCAGACTAAATAGAACAAAAGAAAGTATAGTGAACAGGAAATAGTAGTACTTTAATTGCAAAAAGTGTAGTTGTAGTTTTTAGACTATGAGACTGGGTCATGGTAGAAAAAAATATCTGTATGTCTAAGTGCGTGTACTTAAAAAACATTGCAACAATTTAATAACAGATATTACCTGTTTGTGACACTCAAACTACGGTAAACAGATAGTACTTGAAGGGGTTAGTAGAAAACATAAAACTGAATGCAAATGACTTGTATTTAAAAATTTCAGTAGAACACCAAAGACAGTACAACCAAGTATTTATTTTTTTAACTGAGTATGCAGCAGTAAATTACTTACTTAAAACACATGGAAATGATCGTACGAAACTATGGAAAACTTTTCAATATTGTCAATGTTGTCTCTCTTTGATACAGTTTGCGATGTTTTATACTGTTTATTAAAAATTATTATTTCAACCAATTAACGTATATTCATAACCTCACATTATTTCAGTAATGGGCGGCAACTCTCTGGTGGTAGCCTTAGGTTGTGGAAATTCCCCGGTTATCTCCCCTTCGTGTGATTTCTCAACACTGTGTGGCTACAAAAGTTACCATGAAGGCAACACAAACATCAACTGGGTCCTGGCTAATGGGACGGTCAAACCTATACTGGCCCCGTGGAAAAATCCAGGGTCTACTGACCGTAGGTTAAATGATCACTTTTAATATAACATGAAATACAAATATGCCCAATGCGTAAACTAATTATCCAATACATACAAAATACAACAAAGCAAGACTAGCTAGTTATTATAAGTGGTTAAACCAAACCAAGACAGCCTAAAATTAATGGTTTAGTTTGGTCATGTAATTTTAGGAAGTGGTATCACAACACGCTATGTGGGAGATATGCTCTAACTAGTGCTCTTTTTTTTTTATGAGTAGGAAATAAAGTGTCCAATGTTGAGCATAAATAACTAATCCGGAAAATAAGGGATATAATTTTAACTGAATTTAATGTCACTTAAAATATAGACCTGCATTACTTTTCATGAATGTATATATCTTGTGTTTCAGAGAGCTGCTACGTGTACCTTGATCATAAAACTAACACATCTGTGGGTACCAAAGGCATGATGAGTGCAGAAATAGCATCCAATGTGACGTCAATCTGTGTAGAGTTCCATTACGCAACGAACGGCATGTCCAAACAACAGCTGAATGTTTACCTGCAGTCTACACCTGGGTATGGTCCAAGCTACAAAACTGACCCACTCGTCTTTACACTCAACAATGTTAGCACTGTGTATGCTTGGAAAAACGCCACGTTTTCTACTTGTCTTAATGGATCACGTTATGTACGTTGATTTGAGCCTCTCATATCCTCTACCAATGTCAATTATTTTTCTTCAAATTGTCCCATTACACTGACTCAGGTGATACTCTTTAAAAATTACTCAACAAAATACAAATACTTACAACAACTCATTTAATTTGACTTCTCCCACAGTTTTCTGTCCTGGCCATTCTCTCTTAATCTAGCTCTCTCAACACGTGAGCAATATGGGAGTGATTATCTCAAGCTATTGCTTTGTGATTTATATTTTGGGTAATCCTATTTTTGTGTTCTCCCATTCCATCAAACATCTTGATCTGATTTTTAAGCCAGCGTGGCTCTGAGGCGTAGCGAGGGGGGGGGGGGGGGGGGGCTGGGGGGGGACATATGTCCCCTAGCGCCGACCTGAGGGGGAACCAAAATGGGTTGGAAAAATAAATTGAAAGCTTGAGGGGGGGGGGGGGTGAAAATAAAAAAATTGAGGATGGGGGTGCAAATCAAAATCTTGAGATGGGGTGCAAACTGAAAGTTTGACGTGGGGGGGGGGGGTGCAAATCGAAATCTTGAGAGGGTTGCAAATCGAAAGTTTGTCCCCGGGCGCCGGGAAGGGTCGCTACGCCTCTAGCGTGGTTAACGTAATACGCAAAATGAAGCGTTTTCAAAGTTTCTTGTTATTACTGGAGAAAAAAATATACTGATATATTAAAAATATTCTCAGTTGTCCTTTGAGACCAGCAAATTTTCAACTATGGAGACCATGTCACTAGACGGTATCAAAGTAACACCAGCTGACCTGACATGCGCAGACAGTAAAGTGACCACACCACTTCCGGCCCACGTGACTGGTCCTATACCATCAACATCTCGCCATATCTCGTCCACTGTCCTGCCGTCGTGTGAGTTTAAAACGTTATGTAACTACACCAGTTACCATGACGACCACACTAACATCAGCTGGGTGCTGGCTAGTGGGTCAAACAAACCACTCTTTTCAGACTGGGACCCTCATGCTGCTGAACGTGAGTTTCCTATCCATTGTTTGATTTTCTTTATTGTTTCAAGATTTTTTCTTTAAACACATAACTTATATACATCTAATACTTTTTCAAATTAAAATTACTTGTATACAAATTATTGGCAGTTTTTTTTTAATTTGCATACAGCTTTTATTATCATTGCTGTAGTATTCATATTTTTGTAAATTAATCCACGATGAATTTTACAATTTCTGACCATTTTTTTCTTTGTATTGATAATATAAAGTATAATTAATTATATATCATTGCGACAACCTTAGATCCTAAGACACTTAAATTCATGTAATGGTTTGTTTTATATGAAATGAATCAAATCAGCGAGCTTCCCATTCAGCTCGATTATCATGAAAATAAGTTGAAATGCTAAAATATTATGTGCTTTACTTTAAGATGTAGTGCTTCTGTATGTGTGTTAATCGTTTGGATAAAGTTAAACAGTATAATAGGGCTATAATATTTTACTGTAATTTTTCGATACCTAGCAGCAAATACATTGCCTTAAGTAGACTTGAAGTTTTTTACCCCAACGCTAGAAGGGTACTTGTTTGCGCTGAGTAGACACAGAATAGAGGGTAAACAAGCAAACTCGTGTTTGAAAGTAGAAAAAAACATCTGAACGTTTTTTACTGTTTTGAATGGAAGATGCGACAGTGTTTTGTTGCTCTCTACACAGAAACCTCCTACGTGTACCTGGACGTACAACACGGCGCCCCCATGGGAAGTAAAGCAATGTTGAGTGCTGAGATAGGAAGTGACGTCACTGCCATCAATGTCCAGTTCCATTATGGTATTTCCGGTATGGACAAGTGCAGCCTGAAAGTCTATCTCCAGTCTACACCAGGCTATGGTCCAGGCTACACAACTGATGACGTCGTCTTTAGTTTAGACAACATCAGTGCAGCTTTTACCTGGAAAAACGCCACGTTTTCTACCTGTGTCAATGGCAGACGTTATGTGAGTGTATTTTTTCTTTAATTAAATCATTAACTTTTGGAGGTGTCCAACAATATTAATTGTGTATATATTAAATTATAATTAATTCCTATTTTATTTCCCTATTTACTAAAATCTTTCTTCCAGTGTATAGTATAAATTATTGTCTCTAATTTCAGATATCCTTTGAGAGTTCAAAAGAAGCCGGGTATGCTACGATATCACTTGATGGAATTTACATTACACCGTCGGACAGAGTGTGTTCTATACCAACAACAGCAACCACCATCACACCGACTATTACCAACACTGCAACAAACACCACAATACCAACAACTACCACAACCCCAACAACAACTACCACAACCCCAACAACAACTACCACAACACCAACAACTACCCCCAGCACATCCACATTAACTTTCACAACACTAACAACTACCACAACGCCAACAACTACTACAACGCCAACGCCAACAACTACATTAACACCAACTACCACAACACCAACAACTACCACAACCACAACAACAACTACCACAACACCAACAACTACCCCCAGCACACCCACATTAACTACCACAACACTAACAACTACCACAACGCCAACAACTACTACAACGCCAACGCCAACAACTACATTAACACCAGCAACTACCACAACACCAACAACTACCACACCCACAACTACCAAAACACCACCAACAACAACCTCCTTGCCAACAACCACTACACCAACAGCTTCAACCTCGCCAACTTACAAACCAACTAAAACACCAACAACAACAAATCCATTATACGCATTACTTTTTCCACAGAAGCCACTAACAAACACGACCACATCAACTTCTACCACAACTTCTGTAACAACCAACACCATGACCACAATTACAACAACCATCACTACAACCATCACAAGTGACGATATAAAAACAACTAATGCCACAACTGTAACCACTACCTGGACCATCGTCACAACAACCAACAACATCTAATTGTTTACCCCTCAGACACTTCTTTCATTAATAAAATAAATATGAGACACGTGGAAATTTAATAAGCCTATCTTCTTTTTCATTCGATCTCATTCAATTCTCTTTTTGTTTAATCATTAACACACATCAACTTACGAGATAAATTGCCAGTTGCGGAAGGATACAACGGGCGCTAGGTTGACAGTGATGTATCTTTTCTCTAAACCAAAACCAAAAAGTTTCAAATTTAAAGCGAAACGAAAAATGTAATTTAAAACGGATTTTAATCCAGAATCGGCATTTAAATCGGATTTAAGCTTGATCTGCACGTAGTTACTTCACATTGATACTAAATCTAGTCGTTGACATACCCCTAAACCTTGCACCTAATCTTAAACATGACAAAGGTTGCATTTAGAGTTTCTTTCAGGCGACTCTACTTGGGGAAGGGGGCTCCGCCCCAACCCTCCTTCACACACATTTATATAGAAAAAATATTTTTACCAGTGTCGCACCCTCCTCCCTGCCAGAAAATTTAGTCCACCCCATACCCCCGAAAATTTCAAGCACCCCCTCCTCCGGGGAGGAAAATTCTGAAAGAAGCAATTATCTAATTTGTAGATTATACAAACTAAAGGTAGAGCCTACTTCTATAATATAGACTCGTTTCCTACTTTTGGCCGATAAACCTCACTCTCGCAGACAGTGTCTCTTTCGGACATTTTCCCGGGGGCGGGGCACTTGAATTTTTCCAGGGGCGAAAACAATTGTCCGGGGCGTGGGAAGCCGACACTGGTAAAAGTATATATTTTCTATTTAATTATAATTCGTTTTTTTTTTTTTTGGACGGGTGGGGGGGCGGGGGCGGGAATTAGTCGTTCTACCGCGGGGGGGGGGGGTAGGGTGGGGGAGAAGGGGCTTTGCCCCTTGTGTTTTCTCTATAGCTTTCTTGACAGATACATAGATACATAGATAGATAGATACACAGACAGCGAAACTATTATTATAGATACATTTTAACCTTTCTGTGAATGTTCTATTTGTTGCATAAATCTTACTGTTCAAGTACAACAATTGTCGCCACTTAGAATAACAATTATAAACTAAAAGTTTTTTTACTTGATTTGAAAATAAATTTCAGCAGACTTTAAACTGAAACTGGATAGCATTAAAACGCTGCATCTACGGTGTACTCAATCATTTGTTTAATTTTCTTTTCATTATTGCATACATTTCATTAAATTTAATGTAATTGAAGAATGATACGTTACATGTTTATCATTGTTTGTCTGGCATTTCAAAACTAGCCGAGACTACTTTAAATTAAAAAGAATCTACCAGCAATTTGTTTCGTTTAATCAGATCAAAAGTTTGTGATTTCAATAGATATATAATGTATATAAGGATTTCCATATAAATCTCTTATAAAATTGAATTCGAACAAGATTGTATGTGGATACTGTTCATTCACTTTTTTAAATATGCAACATACAATTTTGATGACAACGTCGCCAAAAATAAAAAGATAAATATCTAAAATCTGAATGATTGATATTTTTAGTGTATGAGGGAGGGGTAGTCATGTTGCTGTTGCATATTATAGATTTAAGTCAGGCCACAGTAATACAACTGGGACATGTAATATCACGTTACAAACATATGACAGCTAATGTCACACATAGATCACGTTACAAGCATATGACAGCTAATGTCACACATAGATCACGTTACAAGCATATGACAGCTAATGTCACATAGATCACGTTACATACATTTGGCAGGTAATGCCACATCGATCACGCTACAAGAGTGTCACGGCGCAGTAAGGTCAATCATCTTTAATGACCTGCTAGATAACCAGATAGATCTGATGCCTGTAACTTCACAAATAAAACACAACTTAAAGTTGGCTACTAACCTACCCTTTTTAGTCCTTCTATTTCAAAACTTGTGGTTATTTCTTCAACCTGTCTTAAATGTGTATAATAATAAGTTAGTGGTTATCTTAATTGGGTACTTAAGTGCACCTTCATTACTTGAGTGGTGTTGTTAGATAATGTCAAGTTAATGTAATTGTAAAGCATTTCATTATCTTAAACTTATCTTGTTTGCGTGACTTGTGTGGCTAGCATTTGTTTTGTTCCTGAGTTTCGTTCACACATGCCCGGATCTAAGATGGCTCCATTGATATGGTTTATGTGTCTGTATTTCCTCGCTCAACAAGTCACTTCAGGTTGTAAGTTTTATTTAAAATTTGCTCATTGACAAATGAGTTTGAAACAAAGTAAGCCTACTAGTCACTTGGCTGGAAAAAACAGCTTCTATCAAATTTAATCCAACATATTTAAATGCATTGCGTATTTCTTATATTTATGTTATGTCGCTCACGAAATCCCTTGCATAGGTTTAGACAAAAGCTTTTATTAAAGAACAAATTTATATTATTTTTATTTTTGTTTATTTTTAAAGCATTTAAAAGCGTATTATTAAAAATAGTTTTACATTCATTTTTATTAATATCGTGCAATACAAATCGCAAAACACCAACAAATATAAATACGATATCAACACGATGACTATTTTTACATAAGTTCAAAAAATGTTAAATTCGGTTACACTTGATCAGGAAAACATCCTTAACACATAGTGAAAGTAGAATTGGTGTCTTCAAATTTATAAATAATATTTGTTCTAAAATTCCATAATGAGACAATTAAATAAATTTCCGATTATGAATTTTAGAAAAAAAAACGATAATGTACAAAGTTCCGTGAAATAAAAGTAATGGAAATAACTGGCTAGATATAGATCTAGTATTTACAAACACGTGGTTTTAAAAAGAATTCGCAAAGAAACCAGTGCCAATATAAATATTTGTTTGTTTTTTAAGCTGAATTAATACAGGGAAACCAGGTACTGTCAGCATTGACCACACCACTTCCGGCCCACGTGACTGGTCCTATACCATCAACATCTCGCCATATCTCGTCCACTGTCCTGCCGTCGTGTGAGTTTAAAACGTTATGTAACTACATCAGTTACCATGACGACCACACTAACATCAGCTGGGTATTGGCTAATGCTTCATACAGACCAATGAGCAACTTTTGGGACCCCCATGCTTTGGAACGTAGGTGTTTTGTGTAAATCTGATATTGCTTTTTATTATCATAACAATATCAATATCATAATAATACATAATAAATGGATCCTACGTTTTTATTTTCTGTTGTATTCCCTACAATAAATTGTAAATTAATTAAATTTGTTATAAAGTTCTGGTGTAGTTTCTTCAAATGTATTCTAGTATTGCACCGATATTTACAATTGAATACAAAAAGCTGACAATGCTTCGTCTCGTGAGCGTAGACAGACGGACGAAAAGATGATAGATCCTTTTTTTAAAGTCATTTGACTCTAATGCTTCGACAGCAAGTTATGTAAGAAAGGAAGAATTGCAAGAGAAATCCACTTCTTAATATTTTACAATTTCCTTACTTAGAGGTAATTCGTATTTTGATTCATTTTATCTTCTTCTCCAGAAACCTCCTACGTGTACCTGGATGTCAGACACGGCGCCCCCATGGGAAGTAAAGCAATGTTGAGTGCTGAGATAGGAAGTGACGTCACTGCCATCAATGTCCAGTTCCATTACGCAATCTCTGGTAGGGACAAGTACAGCCTGAAAGTCTATCTCCAGTCTACACCAGGCTATGGTCCAAACTACACAACTGATGACGTCGTCTTTAGTTTAGACAACATCAGTGCAGCTTTTACCTGGCAAAATGCCACGTTTTCTACCTGTGTCAATGGCAGACGTTATGTGAGTAATTTAAATTTACGAAGAAACTACACAGAACAAACTCCATACCTTAAATGTTTACAGTTTAACTTTAAAAACAAAGCCGCTTATATACATATATATATATATATATATATATATATATATATATATATATATATATATATATATATATATATATATATATGTATTAAAATACCCAGGTGTATTAACTATTTTAATCGCAATTTAAGATTGTGATTTACAGTTTTGTGTAAGTAAGCATAAAATTGAGTAAACCATTTATTAAATTTTCAGATTTCCTTTGAAAGTTCAAAAGCTGGAGGTTATGCCACTGTATCGATTGATGGTATTGACATTACACCATCTAAAATGGAATGTGATTTAGTCCAATCAGATTTAGTAACAACACCATCCATCACTTCCACAGTGACCACTACCACTACACCAACAACAACCAACACATCAACAACTATGTTTACATTAATAAATCATACCCCTTCAATAATGACCACCAACACACCAAAAACCACCTTTCCAACAAATGCCACCATACGTACATCCCCCTCTACCCCATCACCAGACAATTATTCTAATCTATTTCTGTTTTCGCCAAACAACACTAAACCATCCACCAACACCACCACATTAACTTCAACCACTACGACAACATCAGGCAACACAACGACCACGACCACAACCACCACCACTACTACAATCACAACAGACGATAAAACAACCACCAATGCCACAACCATAACCACAACATCGACCATAATTATTAAAACCACCAACCACTAAACCACCCATCTTTGTTACCCACAACTATAGTACACCCCTACAAAACTCTAGTTGTATGACAACATTGCCAACAATAATACTGTTTTCACCTTTATAACATTAGTGCACGACATAGTTGTATGTAGTAGTGGAAATTATTAATCAGGAGTTTACATTATTAACTGCACATGTTTGTGTGTTGTTTTTTTAAGTGTATATTATAATTTGTTATTGTTTGTATTTGTTTCTACCTTGTTTCTGATTTTGTTTATATCAGCTTTAGAAATATTCGTCGTATATTTAAAAGTTTATATGTGTCTTGCTTAAAAACCTGTTACGTATCTTGAAGAGATAATAAGTCTTTGTTGATGAAAGAAAGTAAATAAAATCAGAAAACTCTAAAGTCTTATCTTTAAACTTCTACTGTGTTGACTGTGATTGTTAAATTGTTAAATACATATAAGTATATATATATATATATATATATATATGTATATATATATTTATATATATATATATATATATATATATATAATGTGTGTGTGGGGGTGAGTGTGTGTGTGTATGTATAAATATATATATATATATATATATGTATATATATATATATATATATATATATATATATATATATATATATATATATATATATATATATATATGGCCACCTAGTATTCGACATGGAGATGATTTTAGAGATTCAAAAGCGGCAGGCCATTTTCTTTAAACTATTCTTCTTCTTCGCAAACAATTTAAAATCAAAGATAATGAAAGGTGGTTTTTTTTTTTCATTCTCGATCCTTATTCTTATTTAGGACCCCCATTCCCCTAATCGAGGATTTACGTAGAATTATTTAATAGCAAATATTCATAATTTTAAAAAATTCTTACGTAAAGTGATACCACTGTAGTGTCTTCAACAGCCGTAAATGAGGCTTTCTTTTATTTAGGGATCCCGAGGGTCGAGATTAAACGTGACCTAATACACGACAACCTAGGCCACTGGTTTTCTTCATTTAAATGTGGTGTTGTGTCCACTTTTATATCGTAGTCCTGCTAAACCAAAAATAGTCATATTATTATACTTTTGATGTTTTTACGAAATAAATTATTTTTTATACGTAGACACAACTGTACCTATGCCTATAATACAAGGGAAACAACTCGCCTAAAGCAGTTATTTGTATTAAAAATTATCCGGTCACCTCCCCTTCCATTGATTTAAAAAATGTGTGGCCTTCATGGTGATACAAACATCAGCTGATAGACCAGCTGTTATCACTTGCTAATACCAAGGGTCAACAGGTCACGTTGTCACGTGTTTACAAATCAGTTGTAATTTGTTTGTACTTTAGTGAATACGTTTGAATGTGAATGTGACTTTAGTAACTGATATTCACACAGTGTTTTAAAATGTGTGCATACAATTGCCATTACATGTTACATGAGGACTGTCCCTTGGTTAACTATGCTTAAGGTCAGGGGTCATAAAACATCTAGCAGTAAATATATGGGACATAACTCAGAAACAGTGTACATAACTCAACGTTTCTGTTAATTCTTAGTGGTGCTCATTTGATGGTTATACGAATATAACATTTCTTCTCAAAATCTAATAGAAAGTAGTATATCTAAGAATGTGGTAAATAATATTTTAAAATGTCAAAAAGTAAATGATCTTAAAAAAACTAGATTTAAAATTTGGACTAAACTTGCTAATATTTTGCTCAAGAATGTTAGAAATGTAGGTTTTTTTTTAGGAAATTAAAAATGTTTCCTTGTACAGTTCATTGTTTTAAAGTCAATATATCTTCGTTTTGTGCTGAGAGTAATAGTAATGATATCTCTTCAGTCCTAGCGATTCATTGGGCAGATGAAGTGGAGTTAATGTCTCTTGACCTCAGCTATAAAGGGATAATATGGTCAGCACTATGCCCAGTCGCCTCTACTGTTTCTCACCTGAGTTAGGTACCCTTCAGTGTTGGGTGGGCTCAGGGACGTTCCGTTAACTTGAACCCGGATTCGAACTCGAAACTATCGGTTTAGCAGTCTAGCGCTCCACCGCTATGCTACGCCGTCCCATGCTGGTAGTAATGAATAGATTGATAATGGCTGTCAATCAGTTCAATATTTTAAAACTTTCACTGTTGTATACAGATGTTGTGCTAGTTACGGTGTGTATAGATATGTCTTAACCACGAACAAATAAGATAAGCAAATAGAAACTTACCATTAACATGTGACATGGTGGCCTGCAGGCAAGACTCCACACATGCTGCAGACTATAATTATATCAAGAATTTAATGGGAAAATTTTACAAATGGAAAAATAAAATTACGGCAAAATAAATCATTGTCCAAGTTTAAGAACAATGTGGATATGTGATTACCTGGATCATATATATATATATATATATATATATATATATATATATATATATATATATATATATATATATATATATATATATATAGTGAATTAACGAACGTTGTCTTAATATCCGGTATGAAATATTAAATAATTGATGTCTGTTTAAAATGTTTTCAAAATAAATAAAATCTTAAATTTTAAAAAATATTATATTACAATGTTTGTTTTGATTAATTTCAACTAAAATTAAACGAGAGAAATTTCCTTTATTCATCACAACACAGCCACACACAAGAGTGCCAAAAAGTTTCTTCCATCTAAAATAACTGTCATTGTTTCCACCTTTCGATTGTTTTAGCCTATCTCGTCCAGTATCTAGCATTGTTATCTTGTACAGATAACTTTATCTATTTTGGGCACGTCCCTTTAGATAGAGCGCCAATAAAAAATATATCACTGCGACCAGTTGACGAAATTTATTTCCTGTCAATGATGCCCTGATTGTATTATTTCCGTCAATCATGGATTCAATTTCCTACACGTATTCCTTCTCTATTCGTGTATGTTTAGTTTTGTGTATATTATGTTATGTACACGCAGCTTTAGAGGGTAAGTTAATAGTTTTAAAATGGCTATAAAATGCAAATAATCACAAATAATTAAATAAAATTCATAACGTGTATGATACAACAGAATTAAGCATTTGTACGTCTAAGGGCATTGTAAAACTCTGGTAAGATACAATCTGATCATCGACCAGCTACAGATCGATGCCAAGCACACCGAACTTAGTTATCACAAAACTCAACATGTGTTCACTTTTGTGATCCAGTTTTATTGAATAAGAACCATTTTTGTGAAAACTGGCTCAGTAAACTACACACACGCAAAGCACCTGATCCGACAAACAGGCATGGTTTAGTACACTTCAGTTTAAAAATCTAAGGTACTTTAAATCTATAGAAGACTGAGCTCACTTCTTGTGATTTAACCCTTTTTTATGTAATGAAGTTCTGAATGAAATTGTGTCTTAAACAATGTATTATTTTATTCCTTTTGGCACTCGTCGAATGAAATGTCGTTCATTTTTAATGACCGAAATACATATTGGTCCTTATAACTACTGTCAAAATCTGAATTGTAAAATGTATTACCTAATGTATTTGGGAAAAAATAAAATTATATATGTTTATAATGTAACAGTAAATGCCTTAGTGGACTAAGATATCTTTTCAATACATTTTAGCGACCAACGCTTTTATACAATAGTTAAGGTAATTTATATTTATTTTCTTATTATTAGGGCAAGAAAATAACTTTTTTTCTCTCGCCTATTGTTATTATTTGGACACCTCTCTCCCTCTAACAAATATTAACGGGTGTACGAGTGTGGACCAATAGTATATGATATATTCAGCCACTAATATCCCATTATGTAATACACAATAGAAAAGTATGAACTGTTTCTTATTAAAGTTTCAAATGTAGTGATCTCCCCTTCGTGTGATTTCTCAACACTGTGTGGCTACAAAAGTTACCATGAAGGCAACACAAACATCAACTGGGTCCTGGCTAATGGGACGGTCAAACCTATAGCGACCCCGTGGAGACCTCCAGGGTCTACCGACCGTAAGTGAATAGATCACTTTTAATTGGATATTATTTTTGTGAATATAACAAAATATTAGCTAAGGTTAAAACATTTTAAACGTTACAAAAATGGTTACCCTAATCCCCCTCAATTTTCGGCTTTAAATACCTACCTGTGTCTCATATTGTGTCCAATGTGCCCGGCGACTGTTGGGCAAAAAGCGCTAACTTATTAAAAAAAAAACTATTTAATAAATTATTTTAAGCGTAAAGATTAAGAAGGATGTTCTCTTTCAGAAAGCTACTACGTGTACCTGGACCATAAAACTAACACACCTGTAGGAAGTAAAGGGTTATTGAGTGCAGAAATTCAACCAGGCGTGAAGGCCATAACGGTAGAGTTCCATTACGCAACTAACGGCATGTCCAAACAACAGCTGAATGTTTACCTGCAGTCTACACCTGGGTATGGTCCAAGCTACAAGACTGACCCACTAGTCTTTACACTTAACAATGTTAGCACGTTTTATGCTTGGAAAAACGCCATGTTTTCTACTTGTCTCAACGGATCACGTTATGTAAGTTTGTAGTAAGAAATTATTACCCTCAAACCATTAAGCTTACAAAGACATGCTATCGTGTATCAATATAACACAGCATTAAGATTGTTTTCAGCTCTCATTTGAAACAACTGTGATGTCGACGATGGCGGATACCATGTCACTAGACGGTATCAAAGTAACACCAGCTGACCTGACATGCGCAGACAGTCCAGTGACCACACCACTTCCGGCCCACGTGACTGGTCCTATACCATCAACATCTCGCCATATCTCGTCCACTGTCCTGCCGTCGTGTGAGTTTAAAACGTTATGTAACTACACCAGTTACCATGACGACCACACTAACATCAACTGGGTACTGGCTACTGCCACAGTAAAACCAATGCTCAGTCCCTGGGATCCTCAAGCCTCAGAACGTAGGTTTTGTTTATATTACAAGCTAAAATATGATTCAAAAAGAACTTTTATTACACTGAACTTATCACTAAAATCGATATTATATGACCTTCCTCTCTAAACTTGTAAGTGTTACCCGCCCCCCTCCAGAAACCTCCTACGTGTACCTGGATGTCAGACATGGCGCCCCCATGGGAAGTAAAGCAATGTTGAGTGCTGAGATAGGAAGTGACGTCACTGCCATCAATGTCCAGTTCCATTATGGTATTTCTAGTATAGACAAGTACAGTCTGAAAGTCTATCTCCAGTCTATACCAGGCTATGGTCCAGGCTACACAACTGATGACGTCGTCTTTAGTTTAGACAACATCAGTGCAGCTTATACCTGGAAAAGTGCCACTTTTTCTACCTGTGTCCATGGCAGACGTTATGTGAGTG